TAGTATTCAAGCTCTGAGGATAAACGTATAAACGTACAGGCACAAATAATATCCGAACTTTGTTGATAAATAAAACCAACGAAAAGTGTAAATTGAACAAAATGAATGTGGAAGAGTTTCGCAAATACGGCAAGGAAGTGATCGATTATATATGTCAATATGGCACAAACATAGAGGAGCGTGATGTGGCGCCCACTCTGGATCCGGGTTACCTAAAAAAACTACTACCAGGTGAGCAAGCAAGAAAAATACGTGTGAAAGTATCAAATACCTGGCAAAAGCTAGACAATCAAATTAACGTTATTTACGTTAAGTGTTAGTTAAAATACAAAAACCTGGCGTTTGTTTTATGATTTAAGAAAAATTCCTTATCTCAAATCGGCTTACAATAGTTATTTACCCATATTGTATCAGAAATACTTTTTACTATTTAGATCCCACGTACTTGACTAAAGAAAACAGATATAAAAGTTTTAAAATCTCCAGACGACTGGATTTACAAATGTCCTTCGTGAATTTCGTACCAACGATAATTTCTTAGTCAGATCTATTTTGTTCGATTGTTTTTGCTGAAATTCATTTAAAACTGGAGGGAAAAGTTTAATTATAGCACAAGTGATAAATTGTATACACTAATTTGTTAACTATGCCCAAACAAATTAGCAATAAATCCGAAAATATTTCGCTTCGCGCAAAATAATCAAAGAAAGCTGGGCAAGACCAGCGGGCACAACTCAATGCCTCTCAAAAACTTGTTAAATCATGTTGACTAATTGTTTTGCCCGCTGCCCGAAGAGTCATGTGAATAATGTGCGAGTGTAAACTATTCGAAAATACCCAGCCCACGGATTCGAGTGCCCCGCATCGAGGTGCGTGGGTGGGGGCCTGGCATAATTGGGGCACACTCGGTAGCCACAGAAGCAGCCACCTCTCCGATCTTCCATCTTCCATCTTCGACCTCCGGGTACCGGGTACCGGGTACCACTGAAGTTGGCAGGCGAAGAGTAGATCTTGCTGGCGAATTTCTGGCGAATTCCGCGCAGTTGGCTAAGTTAAATATTTACGCCGGAATGGACGCCGCAATCCCGAGTTCAACTAAACAAATCAATTAATTATGCATACGCAAACACACACCTTGCGTATAGACTTACTTGTTGATCTTTCTACTCACTGCCAAAAACAACAGACGTGCCATAAATATTGCCTTTGCCTATTGCTGGCCCACCTCCTCTCCCCCAAATTTATGGGTGATAAAAGAAATATTTAAGACCCATCCCACTAATCCCCGGACTGCCTGTGTATCTTTTTAGCCGACGCTCCCCAGTCGCCGGAGTCGTTCAAGGACGTGCTCGAGGACTTCGAGCAGAAGATCATGCCTGGCGTGGTGCACTGGAACCATCCCAAGTTCTTCGCCTACTTCCCATCGGGCAACTCCTTTCCCTCGGTCCTCGGCGACATGCTGAGCAGTGCCATCGGATCCATTGGCTTCAGCTGGGCCAGCTGTCCGGCGGCGGCAGAGCTGGAGACGATCGTGATGAACTGGTACGCCAAGGCCCTCGGCCTGCCCAAGGCCTTCGTTTCGGATGCGCCGGGCAGCACGGGCGGCGGCGCCCTCCAGGGATCCGCCTCCGAGTGCGTGCTCGTCTCGCTGATCACAGCTCGCGCCCGGGCCATCAGTGAGCTGAAGGGTCAGACCAGCGTCCACGACAGCGTCTTTCTGCCCAGCCTGATTGCCTACGCCAGCCGCGAGGCGCACTCCTCCGTGGAGAAGGCCACCAAGATGGCGCTGGTGAAGCTCCGGATCATTGATGCCGACGAGCATGGACGCATGCGCGTCGATCTGCTGCGCCAGGCCATCCAGAACGATGTGAATGCCGGACTGACGCCCTTCTTCGTGGTGGCCACCGTGGGCACCACCGGCGGCTGTGCCTTTGACGACATCACGGAGATCGGCAAGGTGTGCCGTCAGGTGTCCAGCATCTGGCTGCACGTAGACGGCGCCTACGCGGGCAACTCCTTCATCCTGCCCGAGATGCGGGTCTTCTCCGCCGGCCTGGAGTACGCCGACTCCTTCAACACGAACCCCAACAAGCTGCTGCTCACGAATTTCGACGCCTCCGCCCTGTGGGTGCGCGATGTGATGAACCTGAAGAGCGCACTCAACGTGAATCCCCTGTACCTGCGGCACGAGCACTTGAGCGGAGTGGACTACCGCCACTATGGCATCCCCCCTGAGCCGCCGCTTCCGGGCGCTGAAGCTCTGGTTCGTTTTCAGGACGTACGGCATCAAGGGCCTCCAGGAGTATATCCGCAATCACATGGCTCTGGCCAAGAAGTTTGAGATGCTGGTGCGAAAGGACGAGCGATTCGAGGTCCGAAACGATGTCCACCTTGGCCTGGTCTGCTTCAGAATGCGGTAAGTCTTACAACTATTGCCATGTTTAACATTATTATTTTAATGTAACGTAAATATTAGCTGGGTTTGATGATTCAAACTTTTCTCACGCCTTTTCCTTTCCCAAAAAAAAATCTTTAAATTCTTGGCCTCAAAAACACATTTCAATTTTGCAAATTGGAAAATTGAAAAGTTAACCTTTTTATATGGTTTTTTTCATATATAACTCCTAAGGCGGTATTTATGGTTTGAATATTGCCTTTGGTGTTCACTGTAGAGCAACTTGTCTAAAATTAGCTTGCGGCTTTCATAAGTTTACAAAATGGTTAAAATGCTATGTATTTGTAATGGATTTGATATTGTATGGAAGGTCAAAAGACAACAAACTAGATAAACAAAATTCTACTTGGGAACTATTAGTTTTAGTGGATGTAGCCAATGGCACGTGTTCCAATAAACATAAAAAATATAAGGGAGTCTCTATAGGTGGTCTATCCTAATAAGAACATTAGGCTCTTGTAAAATAAGTTTAGTAAGCTTTCAGAAGACAAGGGTGAGAAAGCGTGCTTAAAGTTGTACAAAGTTTCAATGATTTATATAATCAAAATATTTTCTAAAGTCATGTAGGGCTAGGAAAATTAGTTGCTTACAGATGACAGATGTTGTATACTATGCTCTCTGTTACAGCAAGTTACTTGGCTTTGCTGTCCTTTATTTTTATTCTGGGAGACTAATGGTTTACTCGACCCTCTTTACAGAACTGGCGACGAGCCGAACCACATGCTGCTGGCTCAGATCAACCACTCGGGAAAGATGCACATGACGCCGGCCAAGTTCAACGGTCGCTACGTGATCCGATTCTGCGTCACCTACGAGCACGCCTCCGAAAAGGACATCCTGGACGCTTGGAGCCAGATAAAGTGCTTTGCGGAGGAAATACTGCGGGACCACCAGTTGGAGTCCAGCTCTGTGCCCACCACGCCGGAGGGCTCGGAGCGGACCAGCTCGGAGCCAATGGCTCCTGTTGCCGGCAAGCCGCCCATCAAGAAGAAGCTGACACGCACCAAGTCGCTGCGCTTCTCCTTCACTCGTAGCATTTCGCGGGAGCAGTACCAGAGTCAAAGTGAGCACCTTATGGACGGGTGTACACCCATCCTGGTCGTGGATCCCAAAACTCTGCAGGAGAACTTTCAGAAGGCGGCGGACGATAATGAAAGAAGCAACAGTAATGGCAACTCGAAACTCAAAGATATATCCGACGTCGACACGGACGAGGCGAGTAACTGAACGCCCAGCCGGAAGGCATTCGCGGATTTACCTCTACCTAGTATTAACTATCGAGCTGAAATGAGGCGTGTACCTAAAGTCTAGCGACTAACATTGCTCAGTTTGAGTTTAAGTACCTCTACTTATGTTTTAAGGGTCAAAGTTGTTTGCTGAATTTCATGTCATTTAATCATAGACTCATTTGTAATTGCTAATATTTTGTATCTACCTTAAGTTACTATCATGAACGAAGCACTTATTTATATACATTAACTTGGCATTTGTTATGCACATTTTGAAAAAATTATAAAACTGAAAAACTAACGAGTTTCTTTTTTTGGGCGGTTAGGGTCTTTAAATAGGAATTGTTCACAGCCGTGTTATGTCTTATATAGTCATTTTTCTCGGTAGTTTGTAAGGAGAAATACCCATTTTACCAAAATTTGGATTACACCGGTTATAGCTCCTTGTTCGATTGAAATATAATTTTCATAAATATTTTCAATACTCAACGCATCACGAAATTCAAAGATACATATGTACATATGTATATCCGACGCGAGGTGACTTACTTCCCATAAATTGCTCCCATAAATTGCTCAGATTACATTTATTTGTAAGTTTATCTGGGTCAATTCGAACCAATGTATTTAGGGTTACTACGCTTTTTAAATTAGGTTAGATTTAGATGTTGCTTAATGTCATCTAATTTAATATAAGTAATATACTTTGAAAATTCCCGAAACGTCTAAATCTCTGAATTGCCAAAAAATCATCAGAAATTTTATAGCTTGATGAACATTTGTTCCACCAAAAAAGCTAGGTTTTCGCTGACCCCACCTTCTTAGAGATATGGGATACGTTATCAATATCCATAAAAAGATACTTTTTAAAATCGGATGTTTCCTACAAGGATATGCATTTGCATATTTAATGCAATTTGGAAAGCTTTCAGGTCTTTTGTGGGTAGCTGGTAGCCTGGTAAAGCGTCAAAAGATAAATTTAAAAATTTTGCCCTGCTTATTTAAATTTTTTACACCATACATATTTATGTACATACGTATGTATGTTGAGTTAAGAATGCAGTCACACGCTCAACAAAAGTATTGTTGATTAATCTTTTTGATTATGTGTAAACATGGCTTTTAGATTGCAAATTGTTTTTAAAAATAAAGATCGCTTTTGACTATTCCAACAAAGAAAAACGTAAACAAACCACTTTTATTGAATTCAATTAAACAAATATCGAATGTGTTATAGAACTAAGCTGGCGGAATTCAATTTTGCACTGTACTCTTCAACTTTGTTAACCAAAGTGCAGAATCTTAAATGAACTCACCTTTATAAATAACAATTATATTTCAACGATTTGCGCACAGCTAAATAAAAACAAACACACTGCACACGTGTGCTAATCGATAAGACCGGCTACGCGGCTATCGATACCTCACACTTATTGGAGTATCGTTATCGAGCCATCGTATAAAACGTAAACAAAAGTCTGCCGGCGCATTTAATCTCGTAGTTTTGATAAACGTTTATGAAAAGGACAAAATGCCAAACTGGAATCAAATACAGTCGCAACTGCGCAGTTCCAACAATCCCGTCGTATTTTTCGACATTGCCGTAGGCACAACGGTAACTGCAAGCCCACTCGGCATAGACGCTATTTAACCATAATTTAAACCACTTTGGTTACAGGAGATCGGACGGATGATATTCGAACTGTTTGCGGACACAGTACCCCGTACAGCCGAGAACTTCCGGCAGTTCTGCACGGGCGAGTACCGACCGGATGGAGTCCCCATTGGCTACAAGGGCGCCAGCTTTCACCGGGTGATCAAGGACTTCATGATCCAGGGCGGAGACTTTGTCCAGGGCGACGGCACCGGCGTGACCAGCATTTACGGGAGCACCTTCGGAGACGAGAACTTTACCCTGAAACACGACTCGCCCGGACTGCTGTCTATGGCGAACAGTGGCAAGGAGACCAACGGGTGCCAATTTTTCATCACCTGCGCCAAGTGTAACTTCCTGGACGGCAAGCATGTGGTGTTCGGTCGCGTCCTGGACGGCCTGCTCATCATGAGAAAGATCGAGAACGTGCCCACGGGGCCCAACAACAAGCCCAAGCTGCCAGTAACCATTTCGCAGTGCGGGCAAATGTAGCGCGGAGTAGTGAATGTTGTAATAAAGTCTATATTATGTCTTTTTAAACGAAGCGTGTAAATCTGGTCACTGCCGTAGATGCTTTCCGCATGAATTCACTAGAGGCAGACAATTCATTAGGAAAGACACCAGGACAATAACCAGATTGTGCCATTCTCTAAAAGTCCTAGTTGTAGAAAGCATAGCCGCCAGCCGCAACCTTCTCTTTTCGCAGGGTTCGGCAATCCTCGATCATAAAGCTGAAAGAGGAAGCTATTTTTTAAATGCAAAGAATTTACACCAACTGGTACCCACTCGTAGTAGAGAGATGCCAGCGGAACCGTGGCCAGGTGCCAAAGAGCGTGTGCATCCAGAATCCAGAGAATGGGCGGAAAGTCCAGCAGCTCCAAGCTCATTGCCAGAGCCATGAGAACGTAGAAGCGCAGGATCCTCCGGAAGTAGGGCCTACGCGTGCGCACGAAGTGACACCAAACGAACCAGCCAACAGCTGCGACCACTCCCGTGGCCACGTTCACCATCATGTTGAAGGAGTAGTTGAACCGGCCCACGCTCAGGTAGGCAAAGTAATTAATGTAGTAGGAGACGAAGGCCAGCGAGATCACACCCCGCAGAAACAGGGAGTAGCGGTGCAGCATCCGCATGACCATAACGTACAGCGAGCACAGGATAATGGAGTAGGCAAAAGCGTAGTCCAGCAGCTCGGTCAGCGGAAAGTCCCTCGTGTGAAAGATGGCGGACCAGACCCAGCCGTTGAGGCTCGTCTGCGGGAAGATAAGTTTACTTAGTAATGCAAATTAGTTCATGTTCCTGTTGACAAGCCATTCCTACCACTGCGAATATGTGGGTCAGCATGTAGCAGGGGCTGTCCGGACGGACTTCCCGCCGAAATTTTCGCAGCAGACGCAGGTGTACGGCGAAGTTGAGTACGGAGAAGATGACCGAGGCCGGCTCCTGCATGCCCAGCAGTCGGAGGAAAGGCCACTTGCCGTAGAACTGCGGAATGGGCCATCCGCGCTCAAAGAAGGCCAACACCGTGCGCCACATGCAGCCGTACTGGCACTCATCCGCGCAGCTCCACTGGAAGAGCCGATCGAACACCGACTGCTTGTAGAACTTGACCGCCTGCTCTTGGATCTCCAGGCCATCTGCAAAGGATGCTTCCGTTCACAAGGATATCAAGGAATGGGATGTAGAGACCTTACCAGCCGAACAGTTTGTTCGCTCGCAGTTTTGCCGACAGTTGTGAAAAAACTGGGTGCGGTCCCCGTTGGAGGCGTGGCAGGTGGCCACAAACGCCCCCAGGAGCAGGAGAATTGCACTTAAACTACGACTAGACATGACTAAAACTAGTTAAAATCGCCCTCTCAGCGACATGCACCTGAAGTATTTTGTAAACATTGCACTATTGATTAATCGCCGACCTGCCGACGCTATCGATTTTCACGACTATCGACGTGCAGAGGCCGCCCATTTGTCGTATGTCAAAACATTCGCTCATCTGTATTGTACTTGCTGTTTTTTCGCAGTGCTTCACCAGATAATCGCCTAAAATCGTCAGAAAAATAAATAAAATATGTTCAGGGAGCATTTGCGGGAGCTGAAAGATCAACATTTAATGGCCCAAGCCTGAAATCGCGGAGCCTTAGGCCCTGCAGCTTGAATTTTACTTGCAGAGCGGTGGTGAAAGAGAGGGCGAATAGCATTGGTGCACCTTTATCTATTTGTCAGCCATGCATCGGCCAGAAGCAAGTTATCTTATTTTTAGAGCATGACTCACCTGCAGTCAGTCCAAAGATCAGTGGGAAACTGTTAGAGGACCGCCAACCGGATGTCCAAATATTCCAGCAGCCAGAGAGATGCCTTCGCCGTGCCCGTGCCCCCAGTAAGCAGAAAAATCCAGGAGCCACGAAAATCCCAGGGGATTAAGGTAAGAATCTCGATTCCGACCGGCCAACAGTTGGCTAACCTCAGTCTCCCGAATCTCTAGCAACGCGAGCCACTGGTCTTCTTCATCATGCGACTGAACCTGAAAGCCGTGCTGCTCATCCTCACTGTGGCCGTGGTGGTGATCACCCTGGGCGTCTATATGCGCTGCGCCGCCTTCTCCTTCTCGCCGGACCTGATGCGCCCGTTGGACCGGACAGCCAGGCAGTCCGCCAACGGCGGAGAGGCCTCTGCCCTGCAGGACATTGAGTGCTCCATCAACCAGGAGTACAGCGTGCACTGCAAGCGGGACGAGAACGCCAACGAGGTGTATGTGCCGTTCTCCTTCCTGCGCAACTACTTCGACGTGAGCGGAGCGGTCTCCACCAGCGGCAGCGAGGTGGCCCGGTTCAACTGGATGCACAGCACGGCCAAGGTGAACCTGCCCAAGGGCAAGTACGATGCGCGCGGCGTCTTCATGTACTTCGAGAACTACAACGTGGAGGTGCGCGACCGCGTGAAGTGCATCAGCGCGGCCGAGGGCGTGCCGGTTAGCACACAGTGGGAGAAGCGCGGCTACTTCTATCCCACCCAGATTGCCCAGTTCGCGTTGTCGCACTACAGCAAGAATCTCACGGAGCCGGCGCCGAGGGTGCGAGTGCTGGAGGACGGTGATGGCAACCAGATGGACTGGAGCACGCCCAGAACCAGCAACATGACCCGCATCTGGCACCACAAGTTCAACACCAGCGTGGTTCAGTTCGAGACAGCACCGGGCTACGAGGGCGCCATTAGCATTGCCCTCAATCAGACACTGGACCTGCTGCTCAGCGTGGACCTACTGCTGGTCACCAACAGCAGCAGCCTAATGGTCACCGTCCAGAACCGGGACACCCGGCACAGCTACACCCTCCACTACATACCCGCCGACCTGCTGCTGAGCGTGCAGGACTCGAACATCTACTACGGCCTGGGCGGATCGGCGCTAAACAAGTGGCGCCACATCACCCGGGACCTGCACATCGACGTCCAGAAGGGCATCGTCCTGGGGGACAAGCGCTCGCCACTGAAGATTCGGCGCTCCGACCTGGAGGTCTTAGCTATTGGCTTCCTGGGTCTAGGCTTCTACGACAACATCACTCTGTCCACCAGCGACCACATGGCTCACTTTTACGACGCGGCAGAGTGGTTTGTCCACAATCAGGACCCCAAGACGGGTGGCTGGGCCAATCCTGTGCGTCGCAGCCTCAACGGTTTCGCCGAGCTGCGTCCCGGCTGGATATCGGCCATGGGGCAGGGTCACAGCATTTCGGTGTTGGCACGCGCCTACTGGCACTCTGGCGGGGATGAACGCTACCTTCGGGCGGCCGCAGCCGGACTGCAACCTTACAGGGTCTACTCACGGGACGGCGGTGTTCTGGCGCAGTTCATGGATAAGTTCTACTGGTGAGTATGTGAAAATTCTCGCTCCGTTTAAGGGAGTACTTGAAGAAGAGAAGTCATTTGGGTACCCAAACTAAATGCAGGTTAAGTAGCTCGAATTGTCACTACGAATTTCAATATGACCCACAAAACTTGACCCAAATATATTCAAGTGTTTTGTTTTTGGATAAAATTATAGAAAGTGAATTACGTTATCTATTAGTTGATGCAGAATTTCTCTGACTATCAGAAATATTTAAATCACTTGGATAACGTTTTATTAAACTGGTTTGCTCCAGATTACCTTAAGATAGATTACACTTTTCTTACATTTTAATCTTCGTGAATTCTTACAATGAACTTCCATCTCAAAAAAAAGGGTAATGAAAAATATTAATTTTGACAATTAATTTCTCACTTCACAGGTACGAGGAGTATCCCACCACGCCGCCCTCGTATGTGCTGAACGGATTTATTTATTCTCTGCTGGGTCTCTACGATCTCAACAGCACGGCTCCTGTTAAAATCGCCCGCGAGGCTGGGAAACTCTTCGCCCAGGGCATGTACTCGCTGAAGAAGATGCTGCTACTTTACGACACTGGCTCCGGCACCAGCTACGACCTGCGCCACCTGAGCCTGGGCGTGGCCCCCAACCTGGCGCGCTGGGACTACCATGCGACGCATGTGAACCAGCTGCTCCTACTGGCCACTATCGACAGCGACCCACTGATCGCGCAGACCGCGGAGCGCTGGAAGGGATACATGTTTGGCAGGCGGGCCAAGCACAACTGAGAGTTAAGGAATCTGGCGGCCTACCGCCGTCGAAAAAGTGATATTTTGTAGGGCTTGCGTATTGCGCTTAACCATTCTAAATGGTTGCATTTGGTGCCCTGCCCTTCCCGCACCCTCTCATTCGTGACCCGAAAATAATTGTGTGTTTCTCTTGTGTTATTTCCGCCCCCCGTCTTTGTGCTAAAGTACTATTTTAGCTGGTCTGTCTAGGCGCCTATTATTGTTAAGCTATTGTACCTTTAACCTCGATTGCATTATCAAATGTTGGCCTCGTCTTTAAAAATTTGTTAACTCCCTATTGATTGATAGCCTAATTGTTTGCCCGAGAGTAGATGCACGCGCACTCACTGGACAATATTTAGAAATGAACATCTAACACTTAGTTAGACTTTTTTACTGCGCAAACTAAGTAGAGTTCGTTGCTACACTCCCCTGTATAAAGTAATGTAGAGAGCTTAGCGAAATAGTTGTAGAACGTAGGTAACATGTATCTGTTAGATACAATTGTAGACTCTTGTATTTAGCCTCCCCTCCACGGGGTAATCGTAGCGTTCCCACTCAAATACTAACTGCCCTGACCCCGAGTAAAATATATACTAACGATGCACGATAACGATAATAACGACTTCTATATATGGTAAGCCTGTAGTGTAATGTACTGTAGCGTATGCAATTTGAGGATGTTACGTATTTCTCGCAACTTAAACGATGCCATTCCAAACTAATTTTATTTTTATTCCTAAGTTTTCATCATCACAGAGAAGCTGTCAATTAGTCAATTGTACATCACTTTAAATGTAATCTGCGGATCCCTTATCTGTGGCCCACTACTAATCCCCAAAACGAGACTGTTAAAGAAAATGATTGATTTTGAATATTATGTTAAGTGAACCAAATTAAAGTACTTAATTTATGTTCTTTGTACTCGTGTATTGTTTCAATTGGTGCCTGGTGTCGGTAGAGGTCCGTTCTTGCACAATTCGATCGACAATTTATTTACAATTCGGCTAATTGTACTAACAACGGGCTATGTCAACGCAATATACACAATTTCAACTTAAATTAAAGACCACCATAGCCCACGTTCTCTGGTCAAGATCGCTGCGAGGTCAGGACGTGGGAGCGAATCGAGGGCGGACCACTACGCCGGCGCACCTCCTGGATGAACGCGTTCTCCATTTGGTCGCAGATGAGGTCGAAGAACAGGTTGGCCACGTTACTGTGCAGCAGCGACTTGAACTCGAAGGAGACCTTGAAGTCCAGCACGCAGGAGTTGGGTATGTCCTTGAGGCCCGGGTTGAAGCGCCACTCGTTCAGCAGGTAGTTGAACAGGCGTCCATCGTGGCACTCGGACTTGACCAAGCTGGGCGACTCCAGGGTGACCTGCGAAGTGTAGGCCTCGTTCAGCGGCGGGAAACCCACTATGAGGTCCGCCTTGAAGCCCCCACTATTCCGGCTGTGGACGTGGGAGCGTTTCACATACGGCACGAACATGTGGTAGTTGCTGACGTCGGAGACCACGCTGTACATATCCTGCATGGAGTATCTGCATAACCAAAATTAGTGATGACTTCATCATGCGCAGACCGTCGACTTACCCCACGAGCTCCTTTTTGGTGTACCAGCGGTTTTTGTTGCGGAAGTCATTGAAGGTTATGTAGGACCTATGGATGCTGCTGGCGAAGCTGCGCTGCTGGCCTCCTCTGCAACAGGAGAAGAACAATCTGAGTGGCACGGTCAATTTGGCTGCCCAAATCTTACGGGCTTGACATCGGCCTCCGGGTTATGTAATTTACATTTACCTGCTGACCTTGTTTCAATAAGGGGCCTTAGGATTCTGACGTCCAGGGCTTTCAGTGTACTACCCTTTAGCATTTTAGGCAAAGCTGGAGAGTTGGGTTCGGATGAGGAAGAAAGATAGAAGGTATCCGTATCCGAGGTATCGCAGAGTAAGTGCTGCCATTTCAGCTATATTGTAGCCGGTTTTGTCTGTTTTCGGAGGTTTCTTGGCTATTTTCAACTTCATATTTAATCTTTAAGTTTACTACATACATGTATACCAACAAGTCAAATAGAGTTAAAATCATTTATTTTTTAACGAAATCCTGCACGACAATTAAAACCAAGTACATAATGCAAACCTGCAAAAAAAGTTATAAAGTCTTATCGAATGCTGATATTTTTAGCTAATTTTAACGTCAAATTTAGCTAGGATGGCTACATCGAGAAAATCAGCTGACAGTGGTGCCAGACCATCGCAAGTCCGGTGGCCGAACATGAATTGTTTGATTAACAAGTTAACTGAAACCATTGAGATGAAATGGAGTCCTTAAATAATAGTCTTTGTTTCCTTAGCTACTTATATGTATATTTCACATAATCGCACACATTGAGCGTTCTTCCCCCTTCGGCACCTCCTGGCCGGAGAGCTCCCTCTGCTTCAGCTCCAGATAGGTGTTTTCGTTGCGCTTCTCCATCCAATCAGGCAGTGGAGCGGCCCAATCCTGCGGCGGCTCTTTCCGTTTTTGCCATGTGTCGTTGGCAAAGTGGGCGCGCAGTCGAATTCGACGGCGTTCCTCCTCGCTCTTGACCAAGGACTCTCCGGCCGCCACATCGTTGCCGTTGGACTCCTGATAGCGCTCGCAGTTTCGGTAATCGGTCAGCCACTGGGAGCAGTCAGTATCCTGGCCGAATATGAAGTACTGGTGGAAGCGGGCCTTGAAGCTCGTGCAGTCATCGTACTCCTCTTTGTACAAGTGACAGGGGCGAATCTGAAAGGAAAATCCCCTTAACTCTGGTTCTTTCACGCAGCCACATACTTACTGCCCACGCATCATCTAGTGTGTTCTTTAAACTACTCGATTTTGAGTCAGCATTTTCCAATTTCGTGGCCATTTCAATTACATAAAATCAGTCCCTAGCCGAACAGCTGATTCTGTTTATACCGCTGGCCGGCAGCGTTGCCACACCGCCGCGATTGAAACAAGTCTTTTACTTTTCAAATGTTTTTTTTTAATACCAAATAATTGCACAATTAATCATTGAAAATGGTAAGCAACTTGCGTCGCCGGCAACTATTTCGATTGTATCCGTGTAAAGTGTGTAATATACGCTCACTATGAAAAAAGGTGTTTAATATTTCCTTTTGTCATACTTAATAAAAGCCTTTCAAAGTATCTTTCAAGCGTTTTCAGCATATTACAACAGAACTTATAAAATTAAAATAACTTTTACGTGTGTACTTAATTACAGAGCTAAGACCCGATGGCAAGTTATAACTAAATCGTAGTCAAAAATTTACAGTACGCTGCACATGAATTGTTTCCGCGGTCGTTTAACAAACTACTCATAATTCTAGGATCGCTATTTTTCAATCGTTTTTCATTTTTTTTTTTTTTGTACAGAGCTGAGAACTGGGCGCGAATTGAATCACCGATCATGGGGCCAACTAAGCATATAAATATATATGTTTGTCTACGTTTTGGGCTTGGGGAAGTATAATTACGCGTTGTGGGTATACGCTGTGGGGAGTTACGTCTAATGTTATTCTGTAGTTTGACTTTAAGACCTATGAACTATGAATGACCGCACAAGACCGTCGGCCTGTGTGGATGTGGGTATGGGTGACCGCTGGTCCGTTCTCGTTTGATCTCAGGGCAGAACGCTCTCCAGTTGGAGCAGCTGCAGCAGCTGCCGATGACAGCCGCCCGACAGTTAGTACTTGTTGTGCTGGGCCAACAGCTGCATATCCGTCAGATACTTGATGATGTGCACCTTGGCTTCGGCCTTTTGTCGCACGCCCAGCGTGTTGAGCATGTCCGTGACAACCATGCCGAAACTCTGGTCCTCGGCGCTTACCGCCTGGGAGACGTTGTTCTGGAAAATCTTGATGGTGTTGAGCATGTTGTCGCTGTGCTCCTCCTCACTGCGCTCCCGCTTGAGCGGCGGTTCGTAGAAGTATGGCTTTTGGTCCTTGCCCACGGCAGTGGCCAGCTGAGCGTCACTGGTGACGGTGATTTCTGTAAGAAATAAGCGTATTTAGCTGGGATCGCAGATGCTCGAAGGCTCGACTACTTACCATGAGGATGGGTCAGTGCCTGAGCTGAGGTTGTGGCGCTGCCGTTGAACGGCTGAGCGAATATGTCCACGACGGTCTGTTGCTGCGCCTGTTGCTGCTGCGACGGATCAGCCTGGTTGGCATTTTGACTGCCGTTGGCGCACTTGCCCAGCAGCGACTCCCGGTACTGGCGAATGGAGTCCACCAGGAATTGCATCTGCTTGAAGTAACGCCAGCGCGATTCCTGGCATAGTTTCATTTCGCGGGCAAACTTGTCGCGCAAGCTCTTCCAGCGTTTGGTACATTTTTGTTCTGCAATGCAAGAGACAAGGCGAACCATTTAGTAATGATAAACGCTTGATTTTGGACTTAAACATATTTCATAATCTTTTTCAATGCAGGTAAATTTGTTACATATGTGATCGTCAACATTGAGGATTCTCAACAGTCTTATTTTATTTGTACTTAGATAATGGTTTTAAAATGGTTTTGGGGTGTCTTACTGCATTTTTCTTTACTTATGATTAATCCCTGTTGAGATACTTCGTACACATAAGTCTGTCCAATATATATACATATATACACAAAATAATCACTAATAAATGTTTACTCCAGTATAAACTTTCTTATATTAATGTAATAAGTTGTTTGAGAGTAAATAAATATTATTTATTTAATTAATTTTCTTATCTTCCTAACGATACAAGTATAAAAATTCTTATCTATCTAAGCGCTAGTATCAAAACCAAATAAAATAATATTCTTCGAACTCTTTGAGATTACACCTGCCTGGTTTTCTTGGGATTTTTCTTCCGTCTGCAGAAACTAGAACTACTGGCCCATCTAGCCCACCCCTGAAACGCATCTGCTAGAAACATCAAATCGCAAACCAAAACAAACCGCTGGCAGAAGCAGAGACGGTGGCAGAAGGCAACAGCGGGCAGAGGGCAGCAGCTTCCCAGCGCCAGCAGAGACGTTGACGTGACGGTGTCGCTGTCGACTTCGACTCCCTCTGCCCGCGGCCTCTGCCTGAAGACGGAAACCTGTGGCATTGCATTGCTGCTGGAACGACTTGGCTGAATTTCAGCTTTCGAGCCACCGTCTCGCCTTGCATAATCGAAAGCCGAATAAAAAAATTGCTGTGATATAGGCGAAAATTTAGGGTTCGATCAAAGGCCGGCGAGGGGTGGGATAAACGGTAAGTTTTGTTGGTATACTCATGAAAACGAAACGAAAGCTGCCTGGTCGGTCTCCGGTAACTACAGTGGGTGTCTAAACTATTGGCACACCTAAACGTTTTAACGTTTCCTTAAGACAATATATTTAAAAATTTACAATATTAAATCATGATATGTATCTTTTGAAAGACTGCTGCATAAAAGTATTGCGCATATTGACACACATGTGAAACACCTTAACATATGAATTAAATACCTTTTTCTTAAAATTGTTTGATGCTAAAAAAACTTTTTTGTCCACAAATTTTGTTGCACTAACTGAAAAATTATGTACATAATATGTAAGCAATATATTAAAAAGTATAAAAAAAAAACATTTTTGCTTAAAGAATCGGCACTGCCAATACTTTAGCCCAGCACTGTATGTATACACGCATACGAAGGTGTGTGAGCGAGTCAGCTGTCGACCGAGGCAGAACAACCCGCAGCCGCAGTGTACAAAAATAAACGCTGGCGCAAGCAGAAGAGCTGCTGTGGGAGCGAGACAACTACTGCGACGCGACGGCAAAGTACAGCAACTTCAAAAATATCGACTGAGCACACTGCCACAGAGGTCTTCACACCGACAGAGCAAGCAGGGGCGGAGCTCCAGCGCCCAAAAGGGGCGAGGTATTGCAAATTATATTTAAAACAAAGCAAACCCTACAGAATTAGCTGTTTGAAATTAAAATCCCAATTAAGAATTCGGTGTCTTATTGAGAGTTCACATTTTTGGATTATGTTAGTGATTTAAAATTTCTAAAATCAAGTAAATCAAGTCATTGATTGATTCAAATGTGCTTAATTTTAATATTTTAAATATATATATATATATATATATATGTAGTTTAAGCGATCTTTTCATTTGGTCTCATTTTATTATTTATTGTAAAGAATATTTTTACTCGTAAATGAAACCTATTCAAGATTCGTTGTTGGCCAACCCCTTCCAAACGACTCCGCCCCTGAAATTTCACAACCATCAGCCAGCTACTGCGCCGCGTCGCCGTTCACTTTTGCGTCGTTTTCTGTCGTCGTCGACTTTCGTCTTTCGCTCCCTGTCCCCCTTAGAGAATTAATCAATTGACTGGTTGGGGCACGGACAGAAAGCTGAAAACCCGTAGCCAAAAACCAGCCGAATTTCACTTACCAGGCACACCGAGAGTTTCGGCGATTTGTTTCCAGGTCTGGGCCTTGCGCACAAAGTGCTTGTAATTGTAGTGCGACCTGTCGTATATCACTGGGTTCAGCTTGACAGCCTCGATGAGATTGAGATCAAACTGCTGCTCAAGATTGGCATCCAGCTTGTCCATCTCAATGGCTGCCGTGAGGGTATGCACTGAGGGGACAAGACGAGGAGACAAGAGTTAATTTAGCAAAAACTGGATGTGGATCCAAGTGCCAAACTGGGCGCTCGGACTTTCGCTTCCCGACGACACTCACTTTGTTTCTTTCGTTTGCTAATTGTTGTTAAGTATTTGGCGCGAACGCACGCTCTGTTTGTTTTTATTTTGATTGGTTTCTTCTGCGAGGAAGGAACGTCGACGTTTTAATTTTATTTCTCAGTCGCGTCTCTGCCAACGATACGTCTCAGCTCAGTCGCGTCTCTGCCAATGGAGGGTCTGGGTCTGGGCGTTTGTCAACACTGCGGGCTCTGCCGATATTCATCGATGACTTTGGGGTCACGACGACCATTTTTGCGGCATACGGTCACTCTCGGGAAGGAGGTGGTATATTAGGCACTCTCTTTTGAATGTTTTTTTTTTATAATCCGCTTTATCCTTTTGATCTAAATCCTTGCAATATAAACACCCAGACAAACTTTTCATTATTAAAAGCTTAAACTTTTTTATTTTGGTATATTTTTAAAGGCCAGTTGGTATATTTGAATAGTCCTTCGGCGGTAACACTCTTTCTGATTGGAACAAATGGAGGAACTGGCCGCGCAACGAACTTGGACAGAGGAGGAGCGCCTGGAGCTGGCCGCCCAGCTGGACGCCGACCTGGACGCATTCATCGATGGACTGGAGAAGAAGCGCTACGAGGAGGGCTGGCCGGAGGACCGCTGGCAAGAGGAGATGGACAAGCATCCGTTCTTCATGAAGCGTGCTCCGCAGCCCGGTGACGACGTGCATCCTATGTTCGAGGGGTTGCAGAAGCTTAAGTACGACCCAGAGGAGAACACTCGCGATGAGCTGGCGCTCAACTACAAGGAGGACGGCAACTTCTACATGAAGCACAAGAAATTCCGCATGGCAATCTACAGTTTCACCGAGGGTATCAAATCCAAGACGGAGAACCCTGACGTGCTGGCCGTGCTCTACAACAATCGCTCGGCGGCCCACTTCTTTATCAAGAACTATAGATCCGCGCTGAGTGACGCCCAGCGTGCCTTGTTCTTTAAGCCAGACTACACAAAGGCCCGCTGGAGGTCGGCGCAATGTGCCTACGAATTGGAGAAGTTCGACGTGTGCACCCAGATGTGCGAGGAGCTGCTCGAGGTGGACGTAGACCACAAGGAGGCCAACGCTCTACTCCACAAGAACAAGATGAAGAAGGTGACAATGAGTGTTCCCGCTAAATTTAAACCCCGCTTATCCATTTTTATTCCTGCAGCTAGAGATCGAGCGCAACCAGCGTAAAGAGGCTGCCGAGGCGAAGCGCCGCCTTACCCGCTTCCACAGGCTCCGCGATGCCATCGAGCAGCGGGCCATTAAGTTCGATGACCAACGGGTCGGCCAGAAGGCTGCCTTGACCGAGGAGCTACTGCAACCCAAGTTTCTACCTCTGGAAGATCACTCAGTGCATCTGGACGAGGACGGCAGCACGTTGGTTTGGCCCGCCGCCTTTTCCTATCCGGAGTTCATGTTCAGCGACTTCCAGCAGAAGCTGCCGGAAACTGCGACCATGCAGGACTGCCTGGCCACGCTGTTCGCCGAACCGCTGCCCTGCGATAAGACACAGAGCTACCGCCAGGGCAACGTGAACGTGTACTACGAGAACCGCAAGGTGGGCTGCGTCCACAAGGTTGCCGTTGAAAAGCAGCTAGCCGAGATCATCGCTGAGAAGGGATTCTTCGTATCGGGCGGAGCCTTGCTCTTCTATGTGGTGCCCAAGCATTCCCGGGTGGAACAGGAGTTCATACACCAACAGCGACGACCCATGGTTTATAGTTGAGTAGTCAGTGTGGAAATAAAGTTGATCGTTTTTAGAAAACAGAATGCCTTCAGTTGGTTGTAAAGTTTATTTCGTTAGCAGCAAATATCTATTTTTAAGCTTATGTTTTAGTCACGGTACAATTGAGCTTTGGTTATGCTATGTTGAAGCATTTTCTCGTAGGATTAACTAATTTCTGATATGTTATGCGAAGCCAAAAAGCGTTGTTTTAGGCTTACGTCGTCCCAAAATATCCGGTACGGCGTAATTCCATTTTTTTTATGAATATAATGTGTAGAATTTAAACTTGTTTAGCTAAATTTAGTTTCTTTTCAACAACGAGGCGCCTAAATGAGTCAACAATATGGTTTTAGTTTAAATTGTATAAAAGCGTTCTTGTAAATTTCCATAATTGAGCATATTCATATGTATAAATCTAGACATTCATCGTTAGTTCACAACAGTAATACTAGTTGGGCTCCTTAAATGGAGCCGGATATGATTCGTTAAATAACGTTTGACAAAGCGCGATCAACCTATAAGGCTTAAGACTAAGTGCATCGTGGGAAAGCGTATTACATACTTGGATAACATAATAGTAAGCTGATGACATCAACTTGTCCAACTAACACAAAAGTGGTGGGCAGATCACATTCACAAGAACCTACAACAAATTAAAAATAATAAGCGAAATTCATAAAAAAGCAGTGTGTCTTCACAGCAAAGTGTTCAGCATGGATTCGGAAAACTGGACAAAATCTGCGCTAGTGCTGCGGCGACGGAGGATTTCTCTGCAAGACGTTGTTCAGCCTCATCTTCAGCGGCGAAAAGTCAATTTTCTTGAAGCGTGGCAGCGAGGCAAACTTCTTCATGCTGCCTCCTGGTGCATGCAACTCATTGGACGTGGCCACCGATTGTATCATGGGCTGTGGCTGGGCAGCTGCCTGCTTGGTTTTGCTCGGCGAATGTCCGAATTTAGCCAGTGTGGCGTACTTCTGCAGGAGTCGCGTGGCCTGCTCCGCTGCCTGGGAGCGATCCTCGATCTCCTCCTCCAGCTTTGGCTGAACGCAGGGAACATTCGCTGACTTCGCCTGGCCAGAATCCTTGACAGCTTGGCCGTCGTCGAATTTAAAATCAATGTTCTTTAGCATGGTCAAATGCAGCAGTTCGTCATCCACGCCTTCATTGTTATTGTTATTGTTGTTGTAGTTTTGGTGGGTGTTATTACTATTGGTGCTATTCGGTCGCTTGACTGGATGGGTGACAGCATAAACGCTCTCGGAGATCTTGTGGGCGGCAGTCTTCTTGGTTGATAAATTAGTCTTGGCTGATGATGATGATGATGAGATGGAAGCCGCCTTGTGGCGCTGTTCGATGATATGTTGGGGCGATGAAATGTAAAGGTTCTCCTTTCGTTCGCGTCGCAACTTGGAACTGACCAAGTGCCTGAGACTGGGTCCATGTTCGGCGGGACTGCGTCGCCTGGACTTGAGGGTGTCGCAGCTGTTGGGATAGTAGGAGGGTATCTTGTCGTCGACACTGATGATCGACTTCCTCGGTGTCTGGTAGTAGTCCTCCTCCTCCTCCTCCACCTCTGGCTTCTGCTGCATTGTCTTCTCCTTGGGCGTTCCCTTCTGCGGCAACGCTGGTGCCAACGGCGATTCGGTGGGTGTGCTGGTGCTCAGTCCGATGCCGAGTGGCTGCGCCTCCAGCTCTTGGGCCGCCTTGACAGCCAACAGATTCTCGTATAGATGCTCCGCAAATCCAGCTGCAGCCGCTCCCACGGTGCTGTTCAGAGAGCTGCCGTGCATGGCTTCGTAAATGTCACTCTCGTTGGCCACTTGTGGCTTGGTGGGCTGGTCCTCAGTGTTGCAGCTGCTGGAAGATGAGCTGTATGAGCCCGTGGAATAGCCGGACGAAGTGGATGCTGTGCTGCCGGATGGCTGCGGTGGCAGTTCCTTCACCGCCGCCGGCTTCAAAATTGGCGCCATTACGCAGTATCCCGTGAGATCGTCCTCCAGGATCTTGTTTTTCTTCAGCAGATTACTCTGCGGAACAGCTCCGTGGGATCCGATGAGATTAATTGTGGACGTGTTGCAGGCGGAAAAGTTGAAATTATACGGCAGCTGCTCGGAAACGTTCAAGCTCTCCAGTGAGTCGGGTTTACTCAGTTGGCTAGTGATTTGCGCCACAATCTGATTGCGTGATATGGGTTCAATGACCGACTCATCCAGACTGATGTTCAGCTCCAGGCTCGACTCGTGGTTCTGTGCTCCAAAATATTCACCAAAGGTGTCCAGTAAATTGAGTTTGGAGAGGTCCGGACTCGAGAAACTGTTGCGCTGCGACTTGCTCAACTGGGATGAGCGCTTTAACGGCAGCACTGGCTCCGGGGTGGGAGCATTCTCGTAGAGCGGTAGTGCCTCATTGTTGGGCACGTTTGCCAGTTCATTGCTGCTGCCGGCACCCTTTTGGCGCGGTCCCCCAAACAGACTGTCCAGCATGTTTTTATACTTCTTTTTCTTGGCCAGCTCCGACTCTGGATTGGTGCTGGACCGCGGAATATCGCACTCAAAAGTGTTGATGCGCTGGCGGTGGGGATGTGCGGGAAGAGGCGGCGGCGAGGGGGTTTTTTCCATGGCCGATGGCTTCATCTCCTCGTAGATGCCCGAGGCGATGGAGACGCGCGAGATGCGGCTGCCGTCGAAGATCTCCTCGTAGATCTGCGAAACTCGCGGCGAGAGATCGCTGGCGTCCAGGGAGTCTGGCAGATTGGGCAGCGGGCCCAGAGCGCCAGGACCTCTGCTAAGGCGGCGCTGCTCGAGGAAAACCTGGCGGTACAACTCCAGGTTTTTGATCGACTTCCGCATCCACTTCATGTGGCGCCGACAGGAGGTCTCCGTCTCCAGGGCGAAGTAAATGAAGCAGTCGCGGCGGTTCTGCGTCCAGAAGAGCCCATAGGAGTGCTGTTTGGTGCGCGAGGTGGCCAGGCTTAGGCTTACGCCCGGAACGTTCACGGAGACGCTTACCGGTTTGGCGGGATGCGTCTCGTGGGGCTCCGCCTCTTGGGCCTGGAAGCTGAGCCGCAGGAAGCAGGGCACACACTTGATGGCCTCGATTTTCACCTGACAGCGGGTCCACGTCTTGTAGCGCAGCGCCACTGGGCGCTTGTCGTGTGTATCCAGTTTGACGTCCATGCTCATGGAGATCTCGTTGTGGTCCATCTTGCGGCGTCTCTCCTCTCCTTGGGGGTGTAGGTGGGGGTGCGGTGGTTGTGTTTTGCGAGTGGAAAATAAAAAAAGTGTTTCGATCCGCTACTGGGTGAATTACATGTTTTCTGCGACTGGGTGGAGCTCTTATCGGCTATTCTCTTATCGCCCGTTTATCCTTCGTGTCCTCGTGACGTGACCAGGGCTGCCACCTAGCAAACATATCATTGCTACATTACTCAATGCATTTTGTAGAGATTATATAGAGTATTTAAAAACTAAAAACAAATTATTTAAATGTTTTTAAAAAAAAAGACTTACATATACAAACTTTATAAAGCCCATAATAACCAACATTGTTATGACTTTATTGAAAATTTTGGGCAGAGCAAAAATATCGTATTTTAATTTCAACAATTTCAATTACCGTTTTGTTTTTTAACGTCACATCTGAAATCAATATTTTGTTTTCGCTTTGGCACACTTGTGCAAAATTAAAAAGTATTTTTAATAATTGTTAAAATCTTTTGCATCCGTACTAAAAATTTTGAAATAAAAAAAAAACACCCTTTTTCCCAGATTGTTGTTTGCTTGCCACTTAAATAAAAAATAAGTCTAATAATTTATTTTCACCACAAATTGACCTTTGTTAAATCTTAAAAATTTCTACACAAAGAAGTTGCGAACACTACAACAAGTAAAATACAAGCTTCACCAGCCATTGGAATTAGAGCTATTTATTAACTTATAAAATCATTTATGTTAACCAGAGGCATAGAATAAAAGAAAAATGTGGCGTGAAAGTTGGACGAGTGTGAATCTCCTGAGCACAAAGACAATAGATTAACTGAATATCGACCTATTATCAATTTTCTAATGAGCATACAACGAATTTCTAAATAAGTATTTAGTATTGTTTTTTTTTTTTTTAATTTTTATGATAAGAATTATGATTTATTTTTTTTGCTTTAAGTTTTAACATATCATTTAAAAACAGCATTTCAAATAAATTATTTGCGCAGAGTGAGAACACTTTAGTTTTGCGCCATAGAGCACGACAGTCGTGACACGAAGGGCCATGGATGCAACCCTAGTCAAACAGTACAGTGTTGTACAACAGCACGCGGCATCGCATTTTTTGGCGGCCATTACAACGAGTGGAAAACGGCGGAGCGCAGCGCACAAATTAATGCATAAACAAACGGCAAGCAAATAGAACACGCGCTGTCCCTGACAACCCAATCCCACCGAAAGCACAACGAACAGCTCCGAAGATGTCCTCGAGCGCTGCCAGGGTCTACATCCAAGTCGAGAGCGAGGCCGAGCAGCAGGAGCACCTAAAACAACAGCGCAAGACACTAAAGCCCTTGCAGGGCAACGTCGTCAACGACAAGGAAAACCTCAGCGGTACCGGGCGGGCCTCCATCGTGGATCAGCTGAGTCGCTTAAAGGCCGGCGTCCAGGTCGCGCCCAAATACGGCAAGCGCAAGTGCGTGGAAACGTCCACAGCAGCGCCGGCGACGTCCACAAAGGACGCGGACACCCAGACCGAGCCGGAGGCCACGCCCCGCGCTGATGCCGACAAGCCCATCACGGCGGAGGACCTAACCAGTGAGGCCGAGCCCGGCGAGAACTACTACAAGCTGCTGGCCGAGCAGCGGCGACTGGCCCTGGAGGACTCGCTCACCGAGAATCGACATCTGCACGAGCGCATCGAGGGACTGGAGGAGGAGATGGACACGATGCGCCAGGAGCTGGACGCAGCGAACAACCTGGTGGAGGTCCTAAAGGAGATCTGCGACGAGGACAACAGCGAGTTAGAGGAGGACGAGGCTGCGGCCGACCAGGAGTAGGTCACCGCAAAGGCTGCATACCAATCACACGTTCTGTTAGTCTAAGTTTTTACAAATAGTTGTAGTTAAATCTCCCTTAATTTATCCCTGTACGTCAGCTAACACAACGGACTGGTCTCATTGTACGCCAGCAATATATTTACCTGTTACACGCCAGTTATGATCCCAATAAAGTTTACACACATTTGATTAGAAATCATAGATCTTGTCGTAGAAATCAATAGACGAACTGGACCAGCTTTAGACAAAGATTCCGCCAACGTGCGGAAAGTTTATTGACTAAGGAATCCGGTTCGCAAAGAAAGGAGGGGTTTTACGATTTCTAAAACAATTAATTGGCTAGTCGGAGTATGAAGTTAAAGATCTACTTAAGCCAATCCGTGATGATTTCCTCGCTGTGGAAGTTATCCACGTCGAACTGAAATAGATAGAACCGATTAGCAAATGTGCTTTGCATTTGATTAAAGTTTTCAAGTTTTATGCCACCCACCTCAACGCACTCCTCGTAAGTCGGCACGGAACCCACGATGTCCACATCGTTAACCACAGCATTAATGTAAGCAGCGTCTGCCTCAGCGGCTGCTATCAGCACCGCGGTCTCCGAGTCATCGGCCTCTGTGGCGTGCGAATCTTCAGCGATGGAGGAGGGATCCTCCTGCTGTACGGCCGCATCGTCCACCAAGCCGTGGGCCGACTTCATGTGCAGGCGCAGGGCGAAAAGACGCGCATATTCAGCTCCGCAGGCGCTGCACCAGAACTTCCCACCTGCCTGGCTCTTGGCCGGCTGTCCGCTCTTAAGAATCGGCGTACTAGCGCCGGTACTTTCTTTGCCCTTGTCGTCCTTGTGCGTCTGCATGTGATTCTTGACGGCATACATGGAGGAGAACGGTCGGTTGCATACGACGCACTGGTACGGCTTGGTGTGGGTGTTCTTGTGGGCGTACAGCTGCACGGAGGTGCGAAAGGACTTGGGGCACATATCACACGCAAATTGCCGCTCCGAGCTGTGGATGCGCAGGTGATGGGAATACACTTGGTGCGATTTGAAGCTGAAATTGTGTTTATTGTAAATAAAGTTAAAGAATTTTGTTATTTCTACCCACCGCTTGTTGCAAACCGTGCACACATACGGTCGGATGTTGGTGTGGGTGCGCAGGTGAAGGGTCAGCGAATAGGACACGCGAAAAGTCTTGCCGCAGACCTCACAGCCATAGGGCTTCTCTCCGGTATGGACCCGCTCGTGCTTGACCTTCTCAAAGGGACGGGTGAACACCCGCTCGCAGTATTGACACGGAAACCCGGGCTTCTCCTTGTCGACACTCGGACGATGGATCAATCTGCTGGAGGGATCGAAGTCGCGAGGCTTCTCGTGGATTTTGAGGTGCATCTGGTAGGTCACATTGCTCTCGAACTTGCGGTTGCAAATGCTGCACATAATCTCGCTGGTAGTTTGCTGGTGCATCTGCTTGTGGACCGTCAGCAGGTTCTCATCAAAGCTGAGGACGACAGTTAACGACAGTTTAGAAGTGAGTTTACCATTAGTTTCGCACAATTAACCCACCTCTTGTTGCAGATTTCGCAGTAGAACTGATCCAGTTCGCTGTACTGCTGATGGGCGCCCACAGGAAGGGCGTCTTGAATGCTCTTGGACGCGCGAGTTTCGTGAATGCGCATGTGAAACTTGAGGAACTTGTCCGAGCTGAAAACGGTGTTGCAGATCCCGCAGCTAATCACGGAGGATGCATTTTTGGGACTAGTCCTTGTTCCGACTCCGGGCAACTTTCGACGGGAAGGTGCTTTGGCCTCGCCAACCTGCTGGCTGGAACCAAGGCCTGACTCCGCCCGCGGACAAACGTGCTCCTCGGCACAACTTCGGTTCTCGAAAATGCTGTGGCAGTCGTAGCAAAAGTAGCGATCGGAACAGCTGGACTCCGTTTCGTCCTCCTGCGTCTTGATGGCGGCAGGAACTTCCTCTACCTCCACCAGCTCCCAGAGCGGCGCATCCGGCTCAACGATGTCCTCCTCGTCAACTTCCTCCAAAATGCAATCTGTAATGACCTCCTCGTCCGCAGTGGCCTCCTCTACGAGCTCGAATTCTCTATTGCCATTGCCGCAGGAGCCGGTCTGTCGATTGTGATCCCTGGCGTAAGCCTCGCCGTCCTCGTACACGTTGCCGCAGCTCTCGCAGAAAAGGAGCTCCTGGGGCTCTGCAACTCCCGAGAAGGATCCATCGTCCACGTGGGTGTCCGGGCTAGTCTCCTCGGCCTGGCTGAACACTGCAATGGGACGTTAGTCAACGCTCTTGCCCCCGGACACTGTGCACTCACATGACATGGCATTATTTGCTACAAAACTGATTTATTTACAATATATAATCTTGGACAAACCATTCACAACAATTGTTTTGTCGAAGTCAGAGCGTTGCCACCAAGTTCATCGAATTGTGAGGTTTTAACTGTCTGGCAAGGTTTTTAAAATAGCTTTTAAATACGATACTTGGGGTGTTCTCTGAATTTTAAAAATTTCCGCAAGTCATAATATCTGCGGCTGTCGATTATATCTTAAATATTTGAACATAACGTGACCAAAAAAGTATAATAGTAAAAGTATATTCTTCTTTATTTTTATATTTAAATTTACTCCTCAAAAATAAGGAACTTTACGTCCTGTTAAGTGGCCTGCGTAACCCACGAAAAAAATTGGCTTTTATTAAAGAAAGTACCAAATATAATATTTTGAAATATTTTGCACATAATAAGGTAAGCTTTAATTTAAGGTTTCTGTTTAACAAAAATATTGAGAAACAACGGGAGCCGTCTGCCGAAAGTAAATAAAAGTACTCTAACTGCTGAAATCGAAAAATTTAAAAAGATTATGAAAGCTAAATATATTTTCCCTACAATGAGCAAATTGTGCAGCCATGGTACATTTGACTACATCATTTTTAGCAAATCTGGCTATGCCAACGAACATCCGTTGTTTGTCGGGATATCGACTGTCGTCCCCCGTTTGTCAGTAAGCACTTTTGATTTTAAGGCATTCTGAACCAAACATTTAACAATAATAACGAGAACTCCATGCTTGAACTCGTAGGGACTTCCACTGTACCTCCAGTGTTGCTAAACAATGTACAGAAACCACCCTTAATAATTAGTCCCATCTGGCAGCTCCGTTGGCGCCAAACTTAAATTCAGTTGTTTTAAACACACGCTTTATTGCGCCTGGCACTAGGTTAGCCTTGTATGTACAAAGGGAAGAAACAGGATAACAATATTATTCGTAAAACAAGGTGCACTACATACTACTACACGACTCGGTGTCCATGGAAGCAGGAATGATTCGAAGCTCTCACTGACTAATTGGTAAGAATATACATCTAAAACGACACGATGCGGGGCAAGGCTAGAACAACAGCGAATACAGTTGGCAGCCGATGCGCTTACACACATTGGACACCATATAGGCGCCCGCTGAGATAGTGACAAACAGCGTTAGCCAGCCCAAGAACGTGAACTCGCCGACCCGGGGCCGGATGTGCCGCGACAGGCCCAGCCATCCGCCGTTGTCGATCAGCCAGTAGACCAGGTCGTCCTCTATGATCTCGGCCAGTCCGTCTATCAGGCACTGTAGGTAGTCGAAGTGGCCCTGCCGCACGCAGTCGATGGCGAAGCCGCCGCAGACGGCGAAGATCGAGATTATCTTGCCCCAGGTGATGCTCGATCGGAACAGATCCTTGGCCACCAGATTCAGCAGCATCGGGGCCATGTCGCTGTCCTCCAGCTCCCCAAAAGGGGCTCGCGACAATTGTCGCGATATGTTTGTGTACACCCGCGGGTGCATGCGCTCCAGTTCCTCACCCATCTGTGGATTAAAGTTCGTTTATTAAGAGAATCATGTGGCTTTTAACGGACGACTCACGCTATTGAGGGCCGGGAAGACCTCGTAGACGACGTGCGAGGAGCCAGGATCCAGGATGTTGCGCAGCCGCTGCGTCACCTTCCGGTTGAGCACTCCTGCCCGACGCAGTCGGGCTCTGATGTACTGGCCGCACAGGCACTTCCCCTGAAATAAAACGACAAAGCCAAAAGTTCAATCAAAATCGAATTAACGGCTGTGCTTTGATCATTGCCAGGCAATATTGCTCCATCAGCGGGGCACTCAATCAATACCGATCGGCTGCCCCAAAGTTTCCGGCGTACACATTTACGTCTTGGCGAATTGCTTTACAGCTCAGTTCCGTGGACACCTGGGCTATTTCAATCTCACCTCTTACAGAGTCTCTTAAAATGCAGCCGAAATGATGCCGCGTGCACATGGCGGTTATAAACAATAAACCCAGTTCTAAACAAAAAGTAGCGAACAGCACGTGCTGTGGAAAGAAATGACGGCAAACTTTGTGCTTCTGGAAACTGTAAGACGGAAAATCTTTGCCGTGAATAAGATACCCCCTCCCAGGGTCTACACAATTCCGCTCAATTTACAATAGCTATAGTGTTGCTTCCCTCAATTTATGTCGCACAATTACTGTTCGTCACGCCATCGACTTGGTGCCAAGTAAACAGACAATTACCTACTTTGGCGCCAACTTGACTTATAACATGGCCAGCCGAAGAGATCGAACCCATGCCAAATCGCTGGCCTTGCGGCTGGTGTCTTGACAAGTCTATTGAAGGCACTCCGCATTCGTCCAGCCTCCCAGCCTCCCAATGAATTAATCACCTGCCCGCGGGCCATACCAATAAATCCGTCAATTTGTTTACGTGATCTTGTTATGGCGATACACTTGTGCGCCCAAGTTTTACCTTTTTGGCGAATTTGGCCCGTTCAAATAATTAAACATTAACTTCAGGGGGAAGAGTTCGATGAATTCATCACTTGAGGCTTTCTGGTAATACCGTGTGTGTTCAGATTATTTTTGGAATATTTGTTTATAATGTTTATGACCGTGGCGCCATTGGGTTCTTCCCTTTTATCCAGGTGCCATTGTTTTCTGGGAACCTCCGAAAAGCCCTGTTAAAAGTGTAGATACATTTTTGGCTATGGCCTTTAGGCCTTCCTCATTTGATTTCTCGGTTGATAAGCTTTGCAAGGCCCTGCATTCTGAGCAAACTTCCGCAATGCGCTTAGTGAAAAATATCTCAACAAATTATCAGCCGTGGCGAAAGCAACAACGAAGGCAAATATATTAAATAAACACTACTTTTCGCTCACCTAGGGAAGTTGAGTAAATATTTTACATACCGATATGAAGGAAAACGGTGCGTGCATTGGAGCCTTTTATCAGTCTAAGATAAACGTATGACCGAAACAAAAAATATTTAACTTATCAATTAAATTGAGACAGTCACGAAAAAAGTCGTGGATAATATGGATATGACCACATAATCAGGTGATTTCGCAAACATTTTGGCACAGTAAATAGGAATCGAGGTCCCCACTGTTTGTCGATCAGTTTGTGTGTTTTGTTGTGATCGTAATTTTAAAATTTGTCCACAAAATGTGGCAGTTTATTTGATCAGCTTTTGCTTTTCTTTTCCCAACTTTTGATAAAGATTTTATTTTGCCTTGAAGCTCAAAACATATGCTCGTACATTTATACATACATAAATTTATAAATTAAGAATTTAAAGTATGGTATGGTTTTAACTCGTCTTTACATTTTATTTTGTCAATGAAGAAAAATTAAAAATTTAACAATTTTGTGATTTAAAGAATGGTAAATTCGTTAGCTTTGAAATCTAGATCTAAACTAGTTAATTTATGTATACTCGCCTTTTGCAAGACCGTTTTTTTTAAATTAATGTTATTAAAATGACATGCGAATACTGTTAAGAACGTTGTAATCGACTTAAAAAGTAAGAAAATTGTGTAAGTAATGATTTTTTGTAACTGAGTACCTCACTTTGTTTAAAATAAGACTTTAAAGTTAAAAAAAAAACAACCAAGTTTGACACAATAAAAAAAGGAATTCAAAAGTAAACTACAGATTTGGGAACACGATTAGTAATATATATTTTATTTTTACATTCGACCACAAGGGACTAATTGTTTTTCGACTGTGTGTGTTTTCGTTTTGGCCGATAACAAAAGAAATGGAGACATTTTAGAATTTAAAGTCTCCAATTCTAAAAGTTTGTCACGCTTGACTGACTCGATGCCGTATAATCTTTTAAACAACGAAATTATGTACATATATATGAGTCATTGGTTCAGAAGCTAGATTCCCGAAGGAGTCATTTAAAATTGCTTTAGCTCATAACTTTGTTCCCGGCATTGATTTGCATACATATGTATGTTTTCATTATTGGGTCGATAACGCTGCCTTTGTACCTATTTATTTCTAACTCTATAACTAACTCTATTTGTAGTGAATTTTTTAAAACAAGAATAAACAGACAGCGGAATGGTGCTCACCTGGTTGATTATCTCCATTTTGTATTCCTGGTAGTTGGTCATGGTGCGCGTGCTGCTGGCCAACGAGGATGTGGAGGCGGCCCGGGTCATGGCGCCGCCGGCGTGCAGGGAGCGTCCGTTGGAGTGATTGGGTCCGGTTGAGGGTCCTCCAGCTCCTGCTCCTGCTGCTCCACGGAGCGCCTTCCAGTCGCTGGAGGCCGTGGCGATCGTTCCGCGTCGATTCGCCGTGTAGATTTCGTGGTCCAGTGATGAGGACTTGAACTTGGCCAGCTTGGGGGCCGCGGGACCCGGCGGGCTGGTGGTGGGTGCCATGGTCGGTGGCTATGGCTATTGTTGGTGGTGGTGGTGGTGGTGGTGCTGCTGCTGCTGTTGTTGGCGCTGCCCCATGTGGGTTGTGTAATTCCGAAACGGTAGCCTCGCGACTTTACTTCGCACAATGCACAATGCACTCGGAACGGAACGGATCGGATCGGATCAGCTCACCTTAAAGCAGCTGAGCTCGCCTTGCGCTTTTTTGGAGGTGGTCGGGTCGGGATCGGATTGGGTTCCGATTCTGATAAAATGGGCAAAACAAAATAAAAGTCGGCGACGAATGGGGCGAGCAAAGCGGAGAGCAGCAAACACGAACGAGGCGCACAAAGGAAAACCACTAAAACTTGTTGCTGGTGCCGCGATCCCAGTTTCATTTTATTTCCAGCCGCTCCGCTTTGCACCGCCTTTGCTTTCTTTTTTATTTGTTGTTTTTCGCCTCACATCACTTTGAACCTTTAACCGAGAGCTATAGCTCAGCGAAATGTTTAGCAAGTGGGGGAAAACGATCGATCGCGGCGCTACACTCCCCGTTTTACGGTTCCCGTTCTCCCGTTCTCCGGTTCTCCGGTTTTCAACTCTCCGTTCTACAGTCCCGTTCTTCCGAGCTCCCGTTCTCGCGAACCGATTGTGATTGTGCGATGTGTTGGCGCGAGCCGCGGTTCTTTCCGAACCGGTTCACCGTTCCGCCTCGGTGAAGCTAACCAGTTCCGAAGGGGAGCGAACCAGCGATCGTGCTGCTGGTATTTTTAAAAATTTCAATTTGCATTAAAAATTGTGTAAAACCAAATGTGTTAAATTTGTGTTCTATTTACAGGGTTTTTCTGTGATTTTTCTAATGCTAGAAATAATATGGAACTTGCAACGAACCGAAAAGCTCGTGAAAAAGCTAGGAGAGAACAAACTTAAAAGTTACCATTCACACAAAATGTGAAGAGATTTTGGCGCCAATTTCAAATTTACATGTTTAAAGCTTACGATTGATCACATTTCGTTTGGAAAAAAATAACTAATTTACTATTATTAAGGAGCTATGAATAATGGAGAAACTGAATGTAGGATGACAAGGAAACTCCCATTGAGGCTAGTTTACAGGATAATTTGGCCTTAGAAATTTATTTCGCCGCGCATAGGAAATTTTAAAATTTGAAGTCAATTTTCCCAAAACCGAATTTAATTTCGTATACGAATATTTTAAAATTAAAAATAAATTAAAGTTCGTCCAATTTTTATCAGCTCCGACATAAATATCCTGCAAGACAATAACAAAGTTTTATCCAGCTAAATCGACCCTTATGGTGAACATAATCAATAAATTAAATACGTACACTTTAAGTAGTCAAACATTTTGCAACCGCTGCGTTGAAAACTTTTGACCAAAATTATAATATTCACTGCAAGCGTATAACAACAATATATAAATATTTTTTTGTATATATATACACAAAAATATGATATAAGCTCTTTAAAATATAATTACAGTAGATTTGCATAGATCATCCAAAATGGAACTGGTGGGGATTATTTTTTTTTACCTCTATTTGAAGTGACTCATTTCGTAATCTGGAAAATTAAAAATAATAAGTCCCTGACGATAAGTTCTTAATATTTTTTGTTTCCGTTTAATTTCATCTTATGTAGTGGACAAGAGCTTTTCCATTATTTGCATAGCAAATATCTTAAGGCGCGATCAAACTGCCCTGATTGGTTAAGCACTCCAGTGCAAAATCAAAATAATCTTGACTAGCACCAAAGAGCTGTCAAAGCATGCTTATGTTGAAGTCGCTTCCAGTGAAGTGTAGGCCCAATCTATTCCATTATCACAGCCTAGCTACATCTATTACTTGGCTTCCTCACACCCATATTTAAGAGGCTCCACACACACCCCCCAGCAAGGAATTTTCCGTAGGCTTCGCAGTGGCCTGCCACATTGTAGCCCCGGCATTGTTTTTGTAATTAAATAAAATTAATTATTTCCCCCTCGCTGATGATATTCAATACACGTTCGTTGTCGTTGTGTCGACAGCTGATAATTAAAAACTCAAATAGGCTGTTAAACTGAATTGACACAGTGACTCCGGGAAGGGGATATGGGTATAAATCTTCGCCAAATCTCAATTGATAGTGCTATCAGTTCGTGCGTTATGAGTTCGGGATTCAATATCGCCCAGCAGCCAGATGTTTGTGGTTAACAGTCACAATTCTTACAACAAAACCAGATACAAGTTCAAAGCTTCATATACAAAAATCTTTTGATTTTAGATTTGTAAAAGTTTACAAATTATTACTAACATTTTTGTTTTAAAGTCCCATAAACTGAGAAAGATACAAATTTAACATATTAGCTATATATATTCGTTACATATTACTATTTCTTAAGTTAATATTTCAAAAGTTTACTTAAATATTTCATAAATGGTGGTTGTTAAATTGTATCAATTTATTTAATTGCTAAGAGTTTAGTCGAGACTGAAATACCACCTTCAAATACCTCCATATAATGGATAGGTGTTTTGTTATCCCATTATCTTTATCTAACATTTAGTTAATTCATTTAGCTTTATTTAAATTTCTATGCTCTTTTACATTTTCAAAAACGTTCCTATTAAGTAAAACCTTTTTTACAGTGCAGTAATGTATATCTTGCCAGCACTTTTGGCTTGAATTACAAATTTTAATTAAGAGTGTTTCTGTTGACTATAGATGGTGAACGAGGTGAGAGCGGTTAATAGGTAGGTACGCAATTAAATAAGTATATTTGTGTTGTTTTCGATATAGTTAGGTTTTACTGTAATTCCGATTTGTTGACGGCGGATTCCAGACGCTTACAGAACGACCGATGCCAACGCCGACGTCGCTATTATATCACCGGCGACCGCAAGTGATAAGGCAGTAGACGTTGGGTGAAGTCGACCCGTCAAGTCCCCTTCCATTGAAAATTATACAAGCCCATATGTTCCCTACACTCGTATCCGGGAATCAACTCACCAGTTGTGCCGAGCATGCAAACAACTACTACATTCAAGTGTAGCGCACATCGCAACGCTTTGCCGGGTCTATATCTGTGGAAGCTCGAGCCCCTCGGTTAGTCGTTGGTCAGTCGTTAACCAGAAGACAAGCGATTTCGAGACCCTGCCACCAATCGGGAATTCGAAAATGATGAAAACCTCAATGGACCAGAAGCGTCGCGTTTGCGTAATAGGAGGTAATAATCGAATCTTCTCTAATGAGCCGATTGAACCATATGGGGCAAATCTGAATTTTTAGCTGGCACAGCCGGTCTGTGTGCCCTAAAGAACTCACTGGAAGCGGGATTGGATGCAGTGGCCTACGAGCGAGGAACCGAAATCGGAGGAACCTGGATTTTCTCGGAGGAAATGCCCAAGGATGAGTACGACGAGGTGCATAGCAGTATGTACGAGGGATTACGGTAAGCGATATGGTGATTAATGATGCGGAATGGGGCCTGATTGTTGACCTGGTTTCAGAACCAATCTGCCCAAGGAGGTCATGGGTTATCCGGACTACTCGTACCCCGACGACATCGCCGAATCCTTCATCACCTCCAATCAGGTGCTGCAATTTCTGCGCTCCTATGCGGAACACTTCAAGCTGAAGCCCCACATCAAGCTGCAGCACGAGGTGATAAGAGTGCGTCCTCGCTTGGACGACTGGGAGGTTGGTAGCGACGTCACTTACTTACTTACTTATTTTCGAACCAGTTTTTTTTGTTTTTTTTCGGTGTCTCAATCACTGCGACTTTGTTTTTGTTTTGTTTTTCCCCCACGCTCATACGGATCTTACAACATGACTGATGAAATACTGATCAATATTACGGCAGGTCTATGTGTGGGACCACAGCACGGATACCTGCGACCCGGTCTACTACGACTTCGTGTATGTCTGCAACGGACACTACACCGAACCGGACATACCGGAGGTGGAGGGATGGGATCTGTTCGAGGGCAAGAAGATGCACAGCCACCTGTACCGGAAGGCAGATAAGTTCAAGGGTGAGATAAGAGCATTAGTACCTTAGTCCCCTAAATCATGTTGGCCAAAACATCAGACTTGGCAACCATCGCCGTCTGGTCAGAGTCCCACTTCTGTTATTCCCATAAAAAAAATTGGAGCACCCTCGTCGGCAGATAATATTGTTGACGGCCGAGTGACATAATAATAATAATAATAACAAGTGTTGTGGGTCTGTGCTAATTCAGTGCGCGCTTCCCACGTGCGTCTTTAGTGATAGCGAGCACATTGGCTGATCTGCAGACGCCAATTTTATTGATTAAACCTTAGCAAAGTTCTGCGAAAGGATTCAATGGAAAAGCAAAGCAAAATGGACACAATTCTAAACTTATTGAGTGTTTTTTAACAAATTATTCTTTATATTATAAAGTCAAATTATTTTTATACAATTTTTATATAAATTAGGTTACTTATTAATATATGTTATGCCCTCTTGGCTTTATCAAAAATTTGTTTTTGATTTTGCAATTGCTTAATAATTTAAATTTTTTATTTTTCTACTCCATATCAACGAGATCAAAAATCCTTTTACTTTTACTATGTGTATTAATTTTTGCAGACGGACTTTGCAAAAATTAATACACATAGTAAAAGTAAAAGGATTTTTTTTACTAAATTTTAAACAACACAAGGATTTGCCCATATAAGTATGCTTTTTTAAAAATATTTATAGCAGAACAGAGTTATTTTTTTTAAGTTAATTGATAATATTTAGAATAACAATATTGAGTATAATAATTATTTATCGAAAACGAATGAAAATAATAATTATTTTTGAGCAAAACAAATTAAAAACTCATTAACACAACAGGTACAAAATTATAACTCATCAATATTTATAAACGGTTATTATTTTTTTTGCTCAAAATAAAACTTATTCCGAAACTTCGCCTCCTGTGTGCGAATTTTTTAAACGGTTTTAGATTTACCAACCTTTCAAGCGATTTTTAAACCCATCAAATATTAGTAAACTAAAAAAAATTTTAAATAAAACTTATTAGGGTTATTTTTTAATCATAATTAGTAGTCCCTATTTAGAACATAACAAATTCACAGCTTTTTAAGCATAGCCTTCCTCTTAATGAAGTTATTTTAAATCTTAAAAAAAATTAACTTTAACTCATCTTGTGTTCGTCTTACCCAATCTTATTTAAGACGAGCGTGTTCTGATCATTGGTGCTGGTCCCAGCGGAATGGACATCACCAACCACGTCCGTGTCGCCGCCAAACACGTGTTCCTGAGCCACCACCTGCCCCAGACCCCCAACACAGCTTTCATGGGCAATGTCACACAGAAGCCGGACGTGCAGCGTTTCACCCGGAATGGAGCCGTATTCACGGACGGCAGTACGGAAAGCTTCGACCACGTGATGTTCTGCACCGGCTACAAGTACACATTCCCCTGCCTGAGCACTGATGTGGGTGTCCAGGTGATAGACAACTTCGTGCAACCCCTTTGGAAGCACTGCATCAACATCAATCACCCGACCATGGCCTTTATTGGACTGCCATTCAACGTGATCCCCACCCACATCTTCGACATGCAGGTGCGCTTCACGCTGAAGTTCTTTACGGGCCAGCGGGAGTTCCCCTCCCGCGAGGAGATGATCGCCGAGCTGGAACAGGAGATCGGGGAGAGATGGGGCTGCGGCGTTCACAACCACAAGAAAGCACATCAGATGGGCGAACGACAGGTGAGTATTTAGTTGTTTTACACATATTTTTATATCCGGTGCTCGTAATTTAGTTCCCCCAAGTAATCCAAAGTGTAACGGAAATTTTAAAAAATATTTCAACAATTATTTTTGACGGTTAGCTACAACCAGATATCTTATCATTGCTAAAAATCTTAAAGTTTTTGCCATATTTTGTAGGGTTAGAGTTTCCTGGTTTGACTTTCAGTTGGAATTTGGCTGAAATAATTTGGAAATTAAGGAAATCGGACCGAAATCACAAACCAAGTCTTAAACGCAGTTTTTTAGAGCCACAAAACTTTTAAGACATAGCACATAAAAATCGGATGCTTGAAAGAAAAGTTATAAAATTAACACTGTTGTTTTTTGGTCACTTTTCCGGAATTCTATTGTTTGGAAATTAAAATGCAGAGTTAAAGAGACTGAAGCCACAAAACTTTAAAGATTTACCACTTTGCAATCAGATGCTTGAAAAAAAAGTTAAAGACTTAAAACTTCAGGTTTTTGGTCACTTTTCCGGAATTCTATTGTTCGGAAATTGATTAAGGAGTTAAATCGTAAACATAACTCAAAATTTTAAAATAAAATTTAAATGTAGAGCTTTAGAGATCTAAGCTACAAGACTTAAAAAGATATATCACTTTGAAATCGGAAAACGGAAAGAGTTTGCCGCTAACCTCTAACAACTTTTCAAATTCATCAAAAATTCGGGCGGTATCCAAGATTTTGAATGAATTTCTGAGAAGGTTTATTTCAAACAAATTAGCTCAGACCTTAAGTCTTAAGATATATTTATTTTTTAAGTATACTCTTTTTCTTAAGAGGGATTTTTTGGAATTTATTTTGGCATATGTTAACATATTTTATAAATGGCATGGAGTACCGGATTTGCAGTAGTCGAGTCACTTGACTAGAACATACTTTTTTGTTTTACTAATTCGTTGTGCTTTTAGTTTGTTTACTACAATGAACTGGCAAGGATCGCTGGCATCGAAAACATCAAACCGGTCATCCACAAGCTAATGAAGGACTGTGGCAAGAAGTACATTTTTGAGTTGGATACGTACAGAAGTAACCGCTATACGATCGTGGACGATGACAACTTTTTGAAAAACGGAAAAGCTACCGCATGACCAGTTTCTTCCTCTACTTAAACCATATGTTAGTCGAATAAGAATTTAAGTCTTACAACAAATAACTCAATAAACCTTCAATAAATTTTAAAACTATTGTTGAACAAATCTGATTACCATATTTCTGAACCTTGGAACAAGTATGAATGAAATCCATTGATTGCATTAAAACCGATTAACCCATTTCCCTTTTCATTCTAATTATTTTTGACAAATAAGGTATGGTTAGTTTCTTCACATTTTATAGTGTCGTTATTACAGGTCAGTTTAATAATTAGTTTTGATGGGCAGCGGCAGAAGCTTGTATTGGCTACTGGCTAAGCTCATACATGATGTGGGAAAGCACTCCGCTGGCCTCCACATTGCTTAAGGCCACATTAGCCAGGTGGGGCTCATAGCGCTTTAAAGTTCGCTTGGCTGTGGCCGAGTAGGTGACCAGGTTGCGTATGATGAGCGCCGCCGTCAGTCGGATGCTCTTGGTGACGGGACCCTCGTTTTCGTCCAACAGCTCCTTGGAGTTTGTGTAATCGGTCGTGTGCCGGTTCATGGCTTGCATTGCTGCGCTGCCCACAACAGGAGCGGCAGGAGCAGGACCCGCAGATTGACCAGAACCGCTACCCGCCAGTCGTTGGGCGTGACCCTCGTTGCGCACTATGGTGACGGGTGGCTGCGTGGGCGCCACATTGTGAATGCCGGTGGCCAAGCGTCTCTGCACACTGGCACGCAAATTCTCCATGGTCAGATGGCGGTCGATCAGATGCGTCATTAGTGAGTAACGCTTTCGCGCTCTGTTGTCGCAGAAGGTGGGTCCACTGCCCCATTGACAGTAGATATCGGCGTCCGAGTCCAGGTGATCCGGACAGTGGACATTGCACACGTGGTACTTCAGCTCGTTCAGAGACTTGAACTTCCTGCGCGGACAGTTGCGCCAGTCGCAGATGAACAGCCAGTTCGCGTCCACGGGCACTGCGGAGGGCGTTGGACTGCCATTCGGTGCAGGTGCAGCATAAACGCTTTGGGTGACTACCAAACCACTGCTGCTGGGAGCTGTGGTTACCACTGCTGATGCCACGGACGCCTGAGCCACCGCCATCGGGTGCTCTGCTGGCTTGGACTCGCTAATGGAGGCCACAACTGCCTTGCCGCCTTCCACCGAATCACAGGTAGTTGACGGCGTCACTACTACAGCCTGGGTAACCGATGGCTTTCCGCTTGAAACTTGAGCAGGCTGCGGCTGCAATGGCTTCTTGGCGAGGAGTGCTGAGCTCGTCGGAGTTCCTGGTGCAGAAACGGCCACAACTTTCGACTTCGCCGCTTCGGAAATCTGAAAAAAAGCATACGAATTAGTTTAGAACTACCTATTGCAAATAATTTGAAGTTTCAGATAATAATAATACATTAATAGTTTACGATAACGTATAATACTGTTCACTACTTAAACAGGGTTCCAAGTGTTAAAAAAGACAGACGAACGGACAAGTCTATTCGTTAAGATAAAATATATATGCAAACATTTGATCAAAATTATAATGCATTATAAAAATTTGAATATTGCTGGTAAATCCATTGAGCTGAGCGAGTATAGCTTAAGAGCAGACACTGATAATCTTATAGGTAAATATGCCTATATTTGGCTTAAATCCTAGATTTGTTTAACCGTAAAAGACCGAGAAATTCCATCCTAACCAAAGTGATTCTAATAAAACATTAAAAACTAAACTGCCCTCCAAAACTAATTAATTAATTGCGAATTTAAGGCCCATCGACAACTTACTGGCATGGTGATCTTTTGCTGAATGATGGAAGGATGATGTTGCTGCTGCTGCTCCATCACGGATCGGATGTGCTGCTGCTGCTGAAGGGCTACGCCACCGACGGTAGCTGTGCTACTGGGCGGCTGTGTGGTGATGATCGTCTGCGAATTGAGCTGGCTTTGCTGCAGGGGAGCCGCCGTGGCCGGGGTCTGGGTGATGAGCGTGGTCTCCTTGATGCCGCCTAGAATCACCTGCCTCTTTTCGCCCGTGACCGTGCCAGCTCCAGCTCCAGCTGCAGCTCCAGCGGTAGTCGGTGTGGATGGGCCGGAGATTATGTGCTGCTGGATGATGGACTGATGCTGTTGGAGCTGCGGAATGGGCAATGAAGCGCCTGCCTTAGTGGCCACCAACCGCTGTTGCGGTGCCAATTGCGGCGAGACAAGCTGGGGCTGTGGTTGCGGCTGGTGCAGCTTGATGGTGGCCGGGATCTGGTTTAGCTGCGACAGCAGCGATGGAGACATTTGACCAGCGCCCAACGCCGGCACCGGTCGCTGGGGGGCGATAAAGATTTGCTGCTGGGGCGTGGCCGTACGTGGCTGGGCCAGTTGGGGAGCTGTGGTGGTGGTGACCAAGACCTGCTGGCCCTGCGCTGTCGTCATTATCATTTTCTGCGTGCCCGCCACACTGGCTGCGGAGACACCTCCTGGCTGCTGCAGGATGATTATGGTCTTGGTCTGTTGTTGTGGCGTTTGCGTGACCAGCAGCGTGGGAGGAGCTGACTGGGTGGACGGTGGAAGCGACGGCTGCGTTTGCTGGGCCACCAGATACGTTTGTCCTTGCTGATTGGTGGCCAGGACATACTGTGTCTGCGGCGCTGGCGTTGCCTCCATCGTGCTCTTGGGCTGCAGTATCACCGGCACCGTCTGCAAACCCTGATCCGTCTTAATGGTGGCAGTGGTGGCCAATTTGAGTTGCGGAGGCGGAGCTGGTGAAACGATACCGCTAGCGGGAAAGACCAACTGTCGCTGCGCGGGCTGCACTTTGGCCGGAATTAGTTGGAGCTGCTGCTGTTGCTGCTGCTGGGATTGCTGCTGGGATTGCTGCTGGGGTTGCTCCTGACTTGATTTGGCCAGCGGAGGAACGTCGTCCATGTCCTCATCCTCCAGAATAGAAGCCGCCAGATCCGCATAGAGGTTGGCAGCGTTCTTCGAGGGTGTCACCTGTGCCTCCTCCTTGCCGGCTGAAGATGAAGTTGAGCTGCAGCTGCTGGCGGCAACATCCAAGGCCAGACGCTTGTTTTGTTCCTCGTCGATGGTTAACTTGCGTTTGGCAGCGGCCGCTGCGATGATGAGGGTGCGCCCGCTGGCGTCCTTGGTCACCACGTTTGCCCCACTCAGCGGGGCGAGGGGTGGCGGAGCGGAGTCCGTGATTGGCTTCTTTTCGATGGCCATCTGCGGGTGCAGCGGCTTAATGGTGGTCTGGCCCACCTTCACCGGTGTGTGCTGCATCAGCGGGTTATTCACAAAGGCGCTGATGGCCGTCGAGGTTACCTTAATGGGTTGCGTGGCATTTGTGGCCGACGCAGTGGTGGCCACCAGGGCTGGCGGCTGCGGTGTCTGAGCCTGGGCCTTTTGCTTCTGCTGGCGCTCAGTGACCTTATTGGCCAGGAGGCTTTTAATCAGCGAGGAGCTGGGTGGTGGTGTGACCGATGCAGGTACCGTCTCCTCAGTCACCACCTCCGACGGTGCGGGATCACTTGGCGGCGGCTTGGGCAATATTGGAGTCTCCTTTTTGGCAGGAACAATGCTGGCAGCGGTCCTCTGTTGCATAGCCAGCGGCTGTGCTCGCATCCGAATGCCCACATAGTACGTCCCGGGTAGCTCCGTGCCATCAAGCTGTCGTACAATCACCGGCCCCACCGTTTGGTTGAATATAAGTCGAACTAGACGTGGGAACTGCATGTGATTGACCACCGAAAGCTTGCCCGCCTTCTGGCAATGAGAGAGGTAGATTCTGTACAGCTCCGCCTGTTCCACGCGCAGGTCGTTGCCCATTCCCGCCCGCTCGTAGGTGGCTCCCAACCAGGCCAGCGCGTATTGTTCGTCCTCGTGGGTGAAACTCTGTGAGACGGTGGGCAGCGTTGGAAGGCTCACGGTGGCTGCGATCGGTGGCAATTGAACCTGCGGCAGACTGGGTACGGGTAAATGAACTTGTGGCAGACTGGGCACTGGTAGTCCGGGAACCGGAACCGGAACCGATACCAAGGCCTGCTGTTCTCCCTGCGGCAGGAGCACCTGTGTCTGGGCGGGCGTGGGCGTGGGCAAAACTGCTGGCGGCTTCACGGCCACCTGAAGGGACGATGGAAGTGTCGTGATAGAAGCTGCCGCCGCGGGAGCCTGCATGGCGGGCATGTTCTGAGCCAGCGAGGCGATCATATTGCCAGGCACAACCTCCACCACCCGCATGAGTATGCAGCCATCCGCGCCATATGTCTGCGCCTCCACGGTGATCAGGGCCACCAGCTGGTCCATTAGGCCCCGCACTTGCATCAGCATCGAACAGGGACGTGCGCCCAGCGAACTAAGCGCGTATACTGCCTCCAAAGTAAAGATGAGCAGCATTACGTCCGTGAGCGAGAGCAGCAGCATGGCGCGCTGGTAAAAGTCCAAGCCAAGGCAACGGTTGATGTGCTGCGAATTGCCCTCCCGGCCGCACAGCTTGTAGAGGATCTCCAGACAGCTTATGATCACGGCCCGGTCGTTGGAGTCAACTCCCTCGCAGAGGGTGGCCAGCAGATTCCGCGACAGCTCGTCAGTCGTTGGATCGAGCAGTTCAAACTGATGAGCCAGGTTGCCGGCCGTCTCCAAGGCCTGAATATGGATGTTGCCTAGTGAAGAGACACATATTTTAGTCAACGAATTCTTTTTAATATTTTTATAACATGCATTGTTTAGGAACAATGGAAATCTTTTGCAGAAAACTTTTAAAAAATGTCTGTTATTTTATTTTGAGAGGTTGTAACCCAGTGAATAAGACAATACTTCAATACTTTTGCATCGGAAAAATAACTTATCCATTTTCGGAATGCAAGGGTAGCAAAACTATTACATTTAAGATAAATTGATTTGTAGTATTTTGTTGTATATACTTTTAGCTTGTTATTTTGACCTTTTTAGATTATACAATCCTCGGTTATGATTTATTTTGTCGTTCTCTTTTTAATGGCGATTTAGATTAAATATAATATTATCAAATTTCAACAATGTTTATATAATTCCCAAAAATAAACGACAAGGCTATTTAATTTATTTATGAAATAAATAAATAATTTAACTCAATGAACCAGATATACAAGTTGGGTTTCAAAATGAAAAAAATGTAGTATTTAGTATGCGATGGTCAGACTGATAAAGTAAACATTTTCGTGGGTTTGATTTAATAAACGTTTTACTTACTCCATCGCACGTTTGCGCCCATCACCAGATATCGCCACAACGTGCGGTTGGAAGCCAGGAGGGCGTGGTTCTCCTGGTGGAAACTGAGTGCTCGCATTAGCTGGACAATCTGGAGCACGCGCTGCCCCATGCGCTCATCTGTCCCGTTGCTGCGGCGTAGGTTAAGGAAGTCCAACTCGTCGCAGGCCGCCAGCAGTTCACTGCGAGCGGCCGAGTTCTCCCTGTCCTCCTTGCTAATCAGGCCGTTATCCAGCCAGGCCTGCTCATCCGTGTAGAGCTCCAGGATCTGTGGCCTGTCGTGCAGTAGGTCGCGCCAGAAGCTGAGCTGCGAATGATGCCGCACCTCGGCGTAGCTGTGCTGGAACAGTTGGCGCATGGTAAAGTCGGCGTAGACGCCCAGGTGGGCCAACAGCACGTCCAGCAGTTTGGGGCACTCGGACAGCTGGAGAGTGTGGCGCACCTCGTTGGCCATCAGGGTGCACACATTAATGGCAAAGTCCTGCTCATTGGGCAGCGGGGACAGGAGGGACAAGAGGAGCTTCTCGTAGCTGCTGTGGCGGTGCAGCTGCGTGGACATCTTGTACTGCCGTCGCCGCTCCACGTTGACCGTGTGCTGGCGCTGGTTGTAGGCCATCGGCACCGCCGGCAGCGTGGAGTGCGCCGAGCCAAATATGCTGCCCAGGCCACCGCCAGCACCGGCCAAAAAGCGAGATCGCGACCGTCCTCCGCCCATTTCCGCATTCTCGATGGCCGCCTCCAGAGCCTCCATCTTGTCCGGATCCTCGCCAAAGAAGTTCAGGCGCTCGTACTTGTCCAGATAGCGTCGGTAGATGTGCTTGATGCCCGCCGTACCGTTAACGCAGCGCTCACGCAGCGTCTCCATAGCGCTGTACACCTCGTCCCACTCGTCCCGCATGTTAACCTTATTAAAGCCGCCGCGTTCGGTGACCTCGTTGTACAGCTTGTACAGGTCGACCTGTTTGCCGCTGATCCTGGCCGGCTGCGTCAGTGGAGTGCTGTTCGAGAGGAGAAGGAAGTGGGTTAGGGGATCTCAAATAACAGGGCGACAGCTTCAGGACTCACCCCCGTCGCTCGTGAAACTGCTGCAGATCCCTCCAGAATTCCTCCGGAGGCGACACAGGCTTCTCCTCGACCTTCTCCGGGAGCAACTGCAGCTGGCTGGGATTCCTGGCGCGCAGTGGCGTACCTAAGGGCGCAATCTTTGCCGGCGTCTGCTGATCGCCCGGCTGAGAGCCGCTGTTTGCGGCGGCAGCTGGCAGCGATTGCAGCAACACCCGCACATTGTCGATGGTGGAGGCACTCATTCTCGAATCTATTCGGCTTGCTTCGCGGATGAGGAACGGAACACTTAACACATTTCTAATTAGTAAGACACGCAAATGCAAATTAAAATTAGTTTAAAAAACTCAACAAAAATTACAACGCGACGCTTTAGCAGAGTTGCATTCGCGAGCAGGGTTGTCAAGTCAACAGTGGGCACTAATATCGATAGATTAGAAACAATCGATGTTTACCATTTAAATTTAAGAACACAGCTGTTTCGCGGGTTGTTGGATTTCTATCGATAGTTCAGCTGAACGCGTATGATTCTTCCACCTTGATCAGCGAAAAAGGAGCGTTAAAATAGAACGCTAAAATTTTTTAGTTACATGCTGCATATCTGCTAGCCTATATTGATGGTGTAAATGTCGAAAAGAATAAGCTGTATGTAAGCAAAACAAAAATGAAGAACAAAGAAAACAAGCAATAATTAATTAATTAATGCTTAATGTATTATAAGCGTTTAACAGAACAAAATTTTTCACTGGTTACTGACTCAACAGTGATCAGTGATTATATTATAAATCAGTCTAAAATGTTTAAAAAATATAAATAAATCAGGGACACCCGATTGGCCAATTAGAATTTCTATTGGAATTATATATTTTTATTTATATAATATTTATCTTATTTATATTATTTATCAGTCTAAAATGTTTAAAAAAATCTAAATTGTTTCTAGTCATTTAAGTTTTTACAAAGACTTGTTTTCTTTTCTAGGTCGATTTGATTTTTATGAGTTATCGAATACTTGCTATCGATTTTTTTTTGCAAAGGCACACATGTGCGCTGGAACAAACTTCGTAGTTGGATAACATTTCGGTTGGCCACAACAAAAGTTCAAAGAGTCCGCAAGATGTCAGTCCGAGCAATGGGGGTGCTGGGTCAAGCGTGCCGCTTCAGCCGCTTTGCCCAAGTTCTGAGCCAGAGCCACCGATCCGCCACAGTAGCTCCTAATCTCGCCCTCGCCATGGGATCTCAGCGATCGCCGGCCGGTAAGCCTCTGAACCAAACCTGCTGTTCTTCCGAAAGGGAATCTTACGTTTACATAACATCAATCGATCTATTTGCAGGCCTTGCGCCCCGTCGCTTCTCCACGGAGACTAAGAAGGCGTCGGAGTCGGTGGTGGACAAGCACGAGTTCCAGGCTGAGACCCGCCAGCTACTGGACATTGTGGCCCGATCCCTGTACTCCGACCACGAAGTCTTTGTGCGCGAGCTCATCTCCAATGCCAGCGATGCGCTGGAGAAATTCAGGTACACCTCGCTGAGCGCCGGAGGCGAGAAACTGGCTGGCAAGGATCGGCCGCTGGAGATTCGCATCACCACCGACAAGCCGCAGATGCAGCTGATCGTCCAGGACACGGGCATCGGCATGACCAAGGAGGAGCTGGTCAGCAACCTGGGCACCATCGCACGCAGCGGCTCGAAGCAGTTCTTGGAGCAGATGAAGGGCAATCAGCAGGCAGCCACCTCTGAAGCCTCTTCCAACATCATCGGCCAGTTCGGCGTGGGCTTTTACTCGTCCTTCATCGTGGCCAACAAGGTGGAAGTGTTCACCAGGGCGGCCACGCCGGATGCCCCTGGTTTGCGGTGGTCCACGGATGGCAGCGGCTCCTACGAGATCGAGGAAGTCCCGGATGTTGAACTAGGCACGCGAATCGTGCTGCACTTAAAGACCGAGTGCCGGGAGTACGCGGACGAGGAGCGGATACAGTCTGTGATCAAGAAGTACAGCAACTTCGTGGGCTCGCCCATCTTGCTAAACGGAAAGCAGGCCAACGAGATCAAGCCACTGTGGCTGCTGGAGCCCCAGAGCATCAGCAAGGAGCAGCACCACGACTTCTACCGCTTCATTAGCAACAGTTTTGATGTTCCGCGCTTCACCTTGCACTACAATGCCGACGTGCCTTTGAGCATCCACGCACTGCTCTACTTTCCAGAGGGAAAGCCGGGCTTATTCGAAATGTCGCGAGACGGAAACACCGGAGTTGCGTTATACACGCGAAAGGTTCTGATCCAGTCCAAGACCGAGCACCTCTTGCCCAAGTGGCTGCGCTTCGTTAAGGGCGTCGTCGACTCGGAGGACATTCCACTTAATCTGAGCCGCGAGCTACTCCAAAACAGCAGTCTAATCCGCAAACTGTCCAGCGTGATAACCACCCGTGTCATCCGTTTCCTGCAGGAGCGATCCAAAAAGCAACCGGAGGAGTACGAGTCCTTCTATCGCGACTACGGGCTCTTCCTAAAAGAGGGCATCGTAACCTCCAGCGATGCGGGCGAAAAGGAGGAAATTGCAAAGCTTCTACGATTTGAGTCCTCCAAGTCGGAAACCTCCAGTGGTCGCATGTCTTTGGACGAGTACTACAACAGCGTTCCCGCTGACCAGCAAAATATCTACTACCTGGCGGCACCCAACCGCGTCCTGGCCGAATCCTCGCCCTACTACGAGAGCCTGAAAAAGCGGAACGAGCTGGTGCTCTTCTGCTATGAACCTTACGATGAGCTGGTACTCATGCAGCTAGGTAAGTTCAAGAGCAAGAAGCTCGTTTCCGTGGAGAAGGAAATGCGCGAGGAGTCCAAGGAGTCGTCGACGGCCACCGACTATGGCGAGGGGAGCCTGCTGCGCTCAGAGCTGGATAGCTTGATTCCCTGGCTGGAGGAGGAGCTAAAGGGTCAGGTGATAAAGGTAAAAGCCACGTCCCGCCTGGACACCCATCCTTGTGTCATCACTGTGGAGGAGATGGCTGCCGCTCGACATTTCATCCGGACCCAGAGTCACCAGGTGCCCCAAGAGAACCGATTTGCCCTGCTGCAGCCAGAGCTGGAGATCAACCCGAAGTGAGTATAGCTATTAACCTTGCGTGCTTGATTTTATGCCCAACTTCACTCCTTTCCAGGCACCCCATCATCAAGAAACTGAACAAGCTGCGCGAGACCGAAAAGGATCTTGCCCAACTGATCGCCAAGCAGCTCTTCGCAAACGCCATGGTGGGCGCTGGTCTCGCGGAGGATCCCCGCATGCTTCTGACCAACATGAACTCGCTGCTTTCACGGGCGCTGGAGAAATACTAGAATGCACGGCCGGGCAAAGTGTAAATCTACCGACTATGTTATATTAATATGTATAATTAGTTTAATAAAATCTTTTGAAATAGTTGTAACGTTACACACAAGTCTTTTTTGGGCTCTGGAAAAATATTAATGATATAGTATTTTCTATCAGTTATCACAAAAATTAGTCGGAATAATTTGGTTAAGAAAAAAAAATTCTGAAGGCCATAACGTTCAGTCAGAACGTTTGAACTTTTTCAAGTTTTAAATCTTAAATGGCCCTACTATCAAATAACTAAATTTTAATTTCAAACAAATTGATATTTTCTTATTGGTTCAATTTTTGACCAGACTTTACGATATACATACGATCATTCCAATGATCAATAAATGAGGAAACTTGACAACCGATAACAAATACTTGACGGGTTTCGGTATAAAAATACCATTCATTGATATATACCACCTGGGTTAAACATCATTCATTAAAGTTGCCGACAAAACTGAAATACCGAGGCTAATACCCTGATTCCATTGGCGCATTTAGCAACTCCGACATGTGTATGACATGAACAGCTTATCTGGGATAGCTTTCTATTGAATTTTCGTTAATACATATAAGCGAACGAATTAAAAATTATCCATAATATTTTCGTGGCGTTTGCCAACTTGGACGACAATTAACATAAGCTAAAGGGGTTGAGTGACGGGTTCTTTGAGCAGACCACCAACGTTTGTTAAAAAACGACAAAAGAATTGCGTATATGTGAGAGTTTTTTCCAGAGATCCAGCAGAAACGAATTGTGGCTCAGCGACCAGGTTTTTCAAAAAAATCATCCTTACATTTTAAAACAAACTGTTGTAGTGATGCTTTCTTTTTAAACTTGAGTGGAAAAGCGGTATTTTCATTATGGTATTTTTTCGAGTGGCAACACTCTTGGAAAGTTTTCTCTTTTGGTTCCTGGCAACGCTTCCCAAAATATCGCAGATATCCGCCCCCGTGACTAAAGTTTATAAAAGCAAAGCAGAATAACTCGTTGTCGTTCAGTATCCGATCCGCGCTTTTAAGCAGCAAGCCAGCAGTAACCCGAAGAGGCCCATAGAGCAGCGAATTGCTTTAAATTAGATTTCAAATCACGTGAGTGAAAAAAAGAATCAAAAAGATAGGCGGTCATGTGAGGCTCGCGCTGCCGAAAAGTTTCTGGACTATAAAACATGCTGCTGCGACAACTTTAGTTTAAACACAGTTTAATCAGACAAGAAAAATTGTTCAATATTTTCTGCCACGACATACACACACACACAGGCAAGCAACTCGCAGCCAATGGCAATGAGATCGCTTGTGTGTGTTTGTTTTGCGAGGAGGGCGAAGGAAGATTCAGGCAAAAGGCTGCTTAAGAACATGCGAAATTCGCAAAGTTTTACTTTTGCAAAAATCAAGAAAATGAAGTTTTTATAAACTTCCATGTGATTGTGTGTGCGTGTGTAATTTTCCAGCCCGCTGGCATTGCCGATTGGGCTTACTTTCCGTTCATGTGAGCCCCTTCTGTCATGCGCTCACTCTCTCACGCATATAGGCACATGACATGCACACACACACACAACACCAAAGCAAAGCCAATAATCCAACGAGTAGTCGCCTCTCGCTCGCTCTCTCCCAGTTTTGGTATCTCGCTCCCTTTGAGCGGTCACGATTTAAAAGTATATTTAAGTATATTTCGTGAGCGGCCACTCGCAATTCGTTCGTCGTCGCAGCAGCATTGGTCGCAGAGCAGCGTAAAACACCCCACGTATATAGCACATATATTGTACATATAATAAAAATACTTTGTTTCGACCGAAGCAACGCATACATATAACGAGCGCGCATAACATTCAGCCGTGCAAAACGCCGAACAAAAACTACAGTGCAATAGCAGCAGCAGCAAAACGAATTAAAATCTCGATTTTTTCGATCATTTGTAGCTCAAAAAACACAACAAACAAAGCAAAATGGCTACTGAAGTGACCAGCACCAACCCCATCTATGGCCCCTTCTTCGGAGTTATGGGCGCCGCCTCCGCCATCATCTTCTCGGGTAAGTTTTAAACGGAACCCGAACCTCTAGAATAAAGGATGCCATGCCCATGCCGTGAAAAATCGAACATTTTTGTGTGGCGTAAAAGGTGGAAGAGGAAGAAGAGCGTGGAGCCACCGTGTGGATGTGGGTATCTTTGTAGGTGGTAGTAATGCGAAATAGCGGCAAGTGTAGGCAAATGGTGTAGGGATACGGGCTAACCTACACAAAGGGAGCAAGTTGCTCATATGTGTTTTCGTGCCCAGCAGCAAATTCAGCAGGGTTCGGGCTTGTAAGCTGGCATTTAAACAGAAAATATTCCTCTTTATTTAAAACTTGTAGACTTTGCAATTTTAATTGCCTTTATTTCGCAGTAGCAAAGTTGAAAAAAGAAAATTTCGCCTTTTCAGCATGCTAAAAACGGCATTACTCATACACACACACACATACACTTGTGAGCAGAGCGAGAGCACAATCGCTCTCTTGAGCGCTGCGCACTCCCGCACTTGATGGCATTGAGTGCCTGTGTGTGAGTGCGAGAACAGTAACTGTTTTTGGTGAAGTTTATGAAACGCGCTTTCCCTTTCTCACAACGGTCACAAGACCGAGGGGAAGTGTTGCCATATTAAAGTTTTTTTTTCCTTATCTTATTGGCTAAAGCATGGTGGAATATGCAAGAAACCTTATAAAAAAAATGTTTAATCCTCGTTTATAACTAAAACTACGACATTTATAAAAACATTTATTTTTGGTAGAATTTTTTAACAGAATTGGCTAGGGAATCGACGTTTGTAACCACATGCCCATATAACTCATTTCCAAATTCAGTTAGCTGACAATTTATGAGCAAAGACATTAGATCTTTTCATAGGTGTGGGTAATCACATGCCCAATTAGTAAACTGCATGATCAATAAAGTTTCAGTCCTCATCACATGGCTAGCTGACGATCTTTTCCAGTGGCTTATCATGGCCACTTATTAGCAGTTACCCTACTGATAAGTGGCTTATTTACCAATTGACTTGGTCGAGATAAGATAGCAAGAACTCAAGCGAGTGTCGCAAGACGAACTTAAGGCATTAATGAGAAAATAGCACGCGCTCCCCTTAAGGAGAGCCAACTTTGGGCTGCCTGCCCATACCGCTTTTCACTAATTTGAACCCTCTTGTGACGCAATCCTTATGTCATGCTCTGTAGCTTGTATTGTGCCCTGTAACTTGTCTTGTGATTTGCGCCTGACCCCCCATCCCCCTGTTTTGATAGTCAAGAAGACTGCTTTCCTGCCGTGTTTACCTGGCCCATTATCATCAACTACAAAAAGTTATCTGACTCAAGACTGCTTATGCAATTTGAGTCAACAACATAAATCAATTTTCAGCTTTTTATTTTATTTTTATCAACAGTAACAGAGTCTCTGATCTGGCAACGCCGGTTTTACGATCACATGAGTGCTAGAGAATGAGAGTTTCGCTCCCGCCTTTCCACACTCTTTCAGCTGGCAACTGCAGTTATTTTTTTTCGCTGACGAACACTCTGACTCACTGCACTGCGAACAATGGGCGTTGCTTTGAGCTGCGGTTTATCTGCACTTGCCACTTGGAATGCTGGCCTGTCCTACATCCTCGTCTCGCAGTGGGCTAAAAATATCCAAGTGCCACGGAATCCATCACACAAGGACAGCCAGCTCCAGCATACTCGAACACACACTCTTACGTTTGCCTGCGCAATCGCAGTAGCAAGAATAGTAGTAGATATACAGAGAATAGTAGTAGCCTAGTAAATTATGTAAAAATGGTATTGTTAACGCATAATATGCAGCCTAACGACTATTTTACAACACTTTGAAAATCCCCCACAAATCGCTCTGTTGTAATACCGACTTTGGCTCAAGCGCATACAATTTAATCGGGATGCTGTGTGTGTGTAAGCGCATGTCATTCCATTGCATTGAATTTTAATCAATGAACGGAACAAACTTAACATTAGGCACCCTGTATCGAAGGTACAGCCTGGAATCGACTGGGGGGTTTATCTTATCTTATCTATATATCTGCTTTCTGTCCGAATTCCTCTCGCTTGCAAGAACGATTAAACAAAACAAACAGACACCTGCAGTGGTAAATTTTCAATATTGCATTTCTTTCCGACTTACTTGTTTTAATCAAAATGCGCCTCTATTTTTGTAGATCTCTCTCCCTCTGTTCTTTCCGTTTTCTGCTCATTCAATTGTGACGCCTTCAATTTGTTTTTGTTTTGTTGGAATATTTTTTGTTTCACTTGATGCTGTGTTTTGTCAGCTCTCGCTATCTCCCCCATTTTATAATTATCTTCGAATGTGCTGGCAGTTGTTGTTGACTCTTATTCTTATATTGTTGCCGCGTCTTCCTCTTGGTTCCCTGTTTTTTTTATTTTATTTGTTATTTTAACGCCCACTGATTTGTCTACGATGCCGTCTGTTGCTTGATAAAAGCCATATACTCGATTTTTTGGGTTTTTTTTTTAATACTTGAAATGTACAGCAGCAGCAGGAGAATTTGAAATGCGAAACAAGTCAATGTCATTAGAGCTTTTTCAGTTAATATTTGTGAGTTTGAATGCGTCGCCAATACACCTGAAAAAAGAGTCAATGCCAGAGAAAAATACAGATAGAGACTCACTGGCACACCTGCCAGCTGCACACATGATTTTCGCCCAAACAGAAGAAAGAAGCAGTTTAATAACAAAATGAAATACCACAATAATCATATTCTACACTTGTTCATATAAAAGGGCATAAAAGGGTATCTCCGCTGGTAACCAAACCCTGGGTTGTTCATACATTCTCTGTATTCAAGTTCTTCTCTATCACATGCTGTAACCAGGGGAAAAAGTACTAGGTCAATAGCCTAAGTCTCTCGTTTTCTTTTTTTTCTCAATGAATTTCGGGTCTACTTATGCCATTTCAAGAAATGCGGGCCACAAACACACTACATTATTTCTGTATTTGCGGCTCGGAGAGTTCGATTTTTTGTGGAAATGTGTGTGTGCGTTTGTGACGACAGCCTCGACCTCATAGATTTCTTTGTGTGCGTGCTAGACGCGTGGATATCTTTTGTGACTATAAGAAATTGCTTATTCAAGTTCGTTCTGGTTTTTTTTCAATACCATTTCCCACCACTTTTCCTGTTCTGTGACGTAGACAGCAATCATTGAGCAAAGTTATGTTGATTTATGAAGATTTAGGGCGATTTGAATACGATCCAAAAGTTACGTCCCTTCCTGTAGATTAAATATCAGTCATATCTTGGTTTGGGGCGGAAAATAAGTAATTAACATGGAATCACATGATGGGGGATATTTGCTCTCCCGCTTCGTCAACTTTGAATACACCCATATGTTTGAGTGTGAGCGTGCGATTTAATTCGATTTATCAGCCCTCTCACGAACACACACACACACACACACACACAAACAAACAAACCGTTGACCGTCATTTGAAACTGGTTTTGTACTTCAATTAATGCCCCATCAATACACACAATATGTAGAATCTCTCGCCACTGGGGTAAGCCCACTACTACTACTGACACCGATCTGATCCACCTGCCCCCCTCGTTCGTTACCTGTTGTGTAAACTTTAGCTTGGCCTTATCAAAATTTGCCTGACTTTTTGAGAGAACGAGTACTAAAACTCGCCGATTTGAGGGAGAGCGGAATGTCGCAATGTGAGCGGAGCAAGTTTGTATTGCTCTCCAGCAGAAACTCAACTCTGAGCGATGAGTGGCACATTTGCGGGTGGGGACTCAGGGGGGTTTTTTCCATCAAATAGCGTCGGTTATGGGCGATCATGTGACTGCTAACTGTTACGCCCGCGGCCAGAGTTGGAGCAATTGATAGCCAAACTTATTCGGCTCGCATCGCTAACATGCTTAGCCAATTAGTGAGTTACATAATGTTATGGAAAGCCAGTTGAATATTCTCACATATTTAGCATGGAAACTTCGAGTTAAAAAAAATACCAAATTAGGATGCATAGAATTATTTACCTATACCCTTACAATATAAATACATCTGTTTTCAACAGGAAAATAAATGTAGGACATAGAATCAAGTATTTTTACTTTAAAGTTATAAAGAAGTAAGAATTTCCACCTCATCTGCATATACATATGCAAAAATCTAACTGGTATCGATCTCAAAACATCTTGAGTACATATACTTGTACATATACTATATGAACCCTAAGGAGATTAAGTGTGATTTTAATTTTGATCACGTCTTATTCGCCATGGGCGTACTGAATTGCAATGAGTTTAATAAGCTTAAAATTTTGATAACCCTTAACATTAAGTTTTTATAGTAGGAAGTATTTTTTTTTTAATTAATTGCATATCGTGCTATAGACTTATAGGCCTTTGCCGACAACTCCACTAGAATTATGTTTACTGGTTTCAGACTTAAATATCGTTATATCTGCACTTTACTTTTTAAAGTTATATCTTTGAAAGTATTAGTTTGATTTATAAAAACCATTGCCACACAAATATGTTCAAAACAAAAAAAGTATGGCAAACTGTTAATAAAAAGTAATGGACTAAAATGTTAATATTGTTATGCTCTATTCAAATCTCTCTTGTAGCTCTGGGCGCTGCTTATGGCACTGCTAAGTCTGGTACCGGTATTGCTGCCATGTCAGTGATGCGTCCTGAACTGATCATGAAATCCATCATTCCTGTGGTCATGGCGGGTATCATTGCCATTTACGGCCTGGTGGTGGCTGTGCTCATTGCCGGCGCCCTGGAAGAGCCCGCAAAGTACTCACTATACAGGTAGATATCAGCCCTATTCACCAATCGATAGAACTTACTAACTGTGTTGATCTGCAGGGGCTTCATTCACTTGGGAGCCGGTTTGGCGGTGGGCTTCTCTGGCCTGGCAGCCGGTTTTGCGATCGGCATAGTGGGAGACGCTGGTGTCCGTGGCACAGCACAGCAACCCAGACTGTTCGTCGGCATGATCCTGATTCTCATCTTCGCCGAAGTGTTGGGTCTCTACGGCTTGATTGTGGCCATTTACCTGTACACGAAATAAATCAATCAATGCAAACACACAACAACAAATAGACAGACGGCGCCCAGCAATCAACAGCAGCCACAACAACATCAACATCAAAAGCAGCAGCTTCAACAGAAGCAGGTAAAATTGTGTCCAACCAGCGAGCAACACGCAATATTGCAACTTCCAACATGCAACATTGACCACAGCAGTGTGTGTGCGGGGCAACACAGGCGGGGCCGTTTGTACATAGCAAGAAAAACCGAAACCAGTCCTTCCTGGCTGCAGGATTTCCGTCATGCACTGCCCTTTGCTGGCCGCCAATTGCACCTGTTGCTCAGTTAACCTCGATTTGCTGGCGCGTGGTTTAGCTTAGTTATTTTCCGTTCAAAATCAGTCTTAAACACGAGGAAAACAATTTGCCGTTAAGTTCATAAAGTTGTAATAATTATGATTTTTGCTATATCAAGAAATCCTTCTCTTTTACTTATTATTTTTGCGCTCCACAAATTTGTGTGCTCTTTGTTATTTGTTTTTTCCATTATTATTATTAAATAATGTTTAGTGTATATGTAAAGTTCGTTAAACAAAAAGAAAAAAATTGTAAAGAAATCAACAACCAACAATTGTCAGAAGAAACTTTGTACATTTGCATTGAGCCTGACGCGGCTGCAACAAAATCAGATCAACAAATTTAGCGAAAGGGCCAAACCAACAAAAAACAAACAAGCAGCAACAACATCATTAATGCTTCCGCCCGCGACCATCTGGCGCAAAAAAACGTACTGCTCTCGTCTGCTGACCGCTGTTTGGGCGCACTCCGCCCCCGAATTCGGAGGGCGGGATGGAAGCTTACAACAGCGGCCGCTGGAGAGTTGTTGCTGGACGGTTGGGCGGGAAGCAGAGGCATGGCAATACTTTAACGTCAACTGCGAAAACCAACTACATGCAATCATTCAAAAACACACACACACACACAAAACCAACATACACACACACACATACAAATGTAACTAAGTCCTATGTTTATTTTTAATTATTGTTCAATTCTAAGAATAATATATTAAAAATTAATAATAATAAATTATATATATAATTATGATTTTTTGTGATAAGAAAAAGATGGTAATACAAACAATTACGGTATTGATATACATAATATATACAAAATATATATATTAAAACGAGATCAAGAAATCATAAACAATTATACATATTAACATGAGAAAGTTGTTATAAAACGTACGAAACAATACAAATCAAGTGTATGAATGTAATGCGACAAGCTGAAAAAAAACGAAATACTGCAAAACAACAACCACAGAACACACAATTTTTCCGCTGTTATTGTATAGTAAAGAAAATATTATATATATAAAATATATATTATGTATAAAATATTAACAAGAAATTGTAGTAGCAAAATTATAAACCAACAAACAAGAATACCAACAACAAAAGTCGTGCAAGCAGAGCCCAGAAAAAGCGTAGATGAATGTTGCAAATGAAACTCATACCAACAACAGCATTAGCAACACGAAATCTACGAGAAAAATCCAACAAAAAAATTGTAAAATCCCAACAAATTAGAAGTTATAAGCAGCAACATCAAAACCGAACCCAACAACACCAGATCGACATGTACAGTGGCATTAGACAAATAACAACATCAATTTGTAAGGGAGGCCCGACAAGCGGAACGATCCCGGCCCGAGAAGCTAGCACATTCCATCGCCCGTTGGACGCCGATGCATTCATGATGCTGAGAATGCGGAGGAGCTCAACCCGTGCGGTGGTGCCATCTTCCCGGATTTGGGGTCGCTCCGCCTGCGGCCGCCTCCCGACCCACACAAGAATGCGACCACAACAGAAATGCACGATATTCACATTTGTATATAAGTATGTGACTTTGCCAATCGAATGCAATCAATCCCAGACTCGCCCCATTCGCCACCGCGATGCAGCAGCGCCCGTGTTGCGTTCTCATCGACGATCGGCTGGGGAGAATCTGAGTGACTAGATTGTTAATTCAAGGAACCCACAGCCCACGTGTTTAAGAACCTGTAAGGGGAATCCCTATTGTGTCACGAATTCGTATTGCTTAAATTGCATGCACCGACATCACCAACCTTCCTGTACATGTAATCGATGGCGAGGTTTTAGAAACTGTAACTGTGTATTCGAAACAACATATAAAGCAAGTAAACAACCATCAACAACAACAGACATTGTATGAAATAAATTGTAATTTCTAATTTCCAAAAAAAAAAAAAAAAGTTTGTTTTTATTTATTATTTTATGGGTGGTGTTATTAAATACATAGTGAAAGAAATACTTTCTATGGTCTCAAATTTTGACAAATTGAGAAAAAAAGATAGTTTAGTTTATTTAAAGTGGAAAGACGATTTGGTTCCGACCGATAGAACAGATTAGTAAAACCTACAATTGCCAAACAAAGAGTTAGTTATACTTTTGAGGGCATTTACCTTTATATGTTAATTTATATTTCATAAATTTCGAGCAAAGCTAGTAGTATTCGAGCTAGTATTAGCCTTGTCGAATAAATCTTACTCTCTGGTCATTTGATAAGCATAATTATTGAAAAACTGTTTAATTAATATAAAATATTGATTTCTGGCTTACCATTAAAAACAAATTATAAATCGATTTAAACATGTTTACAATACTAAATTTATTAAAACCGAGTCAGTTAAAAAAATGTTATCTGCGTGGCTGGTGCTTCTGAGCAGTTGCTTTATTTGGCAAACAGTGAGATATTAAGACCAGTTTAAGATTAAACCAAATAGCCTTTTTTTCTTACGCTAGACGGATACTCAGTTGGTGTATAAGCTTAACAAAATGGAGTGCCAGGTAAATCAGACTCGGGTGACAAACGTTTCTTGCCATGTGAAGGCAATTAATTGGAATATGGCGGTGGTAAACATGGATTGCTTCATGATTATGCCCTTGATAAACCCAATCGTAAGGAAACGTTAAAATTCTTGATAGTATCAGAAGTGATAGAGTTTAATTTTCAGATTCGAGTGCAAGTTTTTATGAAGGACTACAGTAATCAGTACAAGCCATTTTTAGTTGACGTCTCTATCAAAATGTGCGAGGTGATAGAGAGAAGGAACTTTATACCTTATGGCGTCATTATCTGGAAGCTGTTCAAGCGTTTCACAAATGTTAACCACTCTTGCCCTTTTTCGGTATTTCTGCACTTTCTGCTTGTGCTTCAGTAAATGCCATTAGTTTTCCAACTGCAGGGTCAGCTAACCGCCCGTGACGGGTATCTGGAAACCAGTCTTCTTCCGCCATTTCCCCAAGGATTCTATTTAATAAGCTTAGTAGTCACGGATACCAATTCAACGACAAGGGATTATGTGGGCACTATGAAGTTCTTTCTTCAAGCTATGGATCAGATAAAGACCAAAAAACTACCCAGAACATAATTCCAAAGTCTTACGGATCCTGCGTTTTTTTTTAAATTTGTTTCCCGCTTTAAAAGTTACGTTTGCGCGAAAAATCCGGAAGCGTGCGGCTCGGAACGTTCATTTCAGTTGGTGAACTGGAATACTGTTAAGTTATTAAAACGCCAAAAATGCATGGAGGATGTATGTTTGGGGAGTACTAAAACTTAAGGGGCTGTATACAGTTAGAATTTAAAAATATTGATTTTTTTTATTTTTTTTTCTTAGTGTACATATAAATAAGAATTTCGAAATAACACGCAAATTTTAAAATGAGTTTCACAGTGCTTTAAAGTACAAGTACAAATTTTAAAAGTGTTTTTGTAGAAATTTCTCAGGAGCTTCTTAAATACATTTTTTAATAATCAATCGAATATAATATAAACAATTTAAGACCTCATTTTTTAAATTTTACATAGTTTTTTTCTTTGATACATTACTGGATTAAACATTACTTTAACGAAATCTGGTTGGTTCTTTTGTTTCGGTGGACCCAGTTCAAAAAAAAATTTTTTTTGAAAGGAACTCCGGGAGATTAGCTGTAGCCCCCTTCCAAAAAATATTTGTACTAATACAAAGCCTTTAAAATACAGTTAAAAGATACCATAATAAGTGAACAAATTTTTAGATCAATAAATTTTCTCGGAAAATAAATCTGCAAAATTCGTTTTTTTCCACCTTTTAAGTGTATAACCCATTAAAAGAGTGTCAATAAAATATATTTCAAAACGAGAGTAAGTTCGTCATTCACCGGTCTAATCATCCAGGCGATCGTCATCGAGAAGCCTCTGCAATCATAATTAAATCCTGTCTTAGTCACTACCAATTCCTTAAAATAGAACATCAGTATGTTTAATGCATGGGTGCTAAAGTTAAAACTGACCAGGGCGAAGTAGCTATTGCGTCCGTTTATTGCCCAAACTCGCAGTGCTCCACTGATGACTTTAATAGCCATTTTCAGGAATTAGGACCACATTTTCTGATCGCCGTAGACTAGAATGCTCACCATCGATAATGGGGCTCTCGAAACTATTTAGATAGGGGAAGAACTCTGACTGATTGCATACTTAGCTCAAATATACAGGTTCTTGCCCGTTCTGAGATTCATACCATTTCAGAAGGCTTGGAACTTAGTTCTGACCATATCCCTTTGGTGATTGAACTAAGACCCGCTGCTCACAAGCTCCCCCGTAGGACACAAATTCTTCCCCGAAACAGCAAATCTTCCCGGGTTTCAAGCAGCCATCAATCAGCTTGTTAATCTCATGGTTCTGAGCTCTCCTGATGATATTTGTGACGCTACCGAACAGTTTGTCCGAAATATCCAAATTTAAATCAACTCATCAGATCCACATTATGGTCTTTTAAAACCTAAGGTCTTGGATCTGGTGAGGTTGAAAAGATCGCTGCGTTGCAGATTCATTCGGTCGCGAGATCCTGTCGATCCTGTCAAGAAATCGCTTCACAGTACCAAAAACGAATACTTCGCAATGCTGATCCAACAAAGCCATATGGATTCAACCTCTGAAAAGCAGCCAGGACGATAAAACGAAAGTCCCCTCGCAGAATCGCCAATCAAACGTGCTGACAACAATTGGTGCAGATCTATCTCTTAAATTTCGCTGGCTTTTACCAAAGAATTGGAAAATCGTGGAGGAAACACTGGCGTTTCTTAATGCTGCCTCTCAAGAAATCGAGCCAATAAGACAAGTCTGTCCGCAAGGTGTTTGTCTTCAAATAAGGAAGCTCTAGCCCAGCAAGGCTCAAGGCTTTGACGGCATCGATAGCAGAGTTGCTTAAGCACTCTTAAAAAAAGGGTATATTTTTGCTTGTACTTTTGTTCAACTCCATGTTTCGGCTACGCCATTTCCCTACCCAACGGAAGCGTGCTGTGATCTCAATGATCCCCAAACCAGGTAAAAGAAAAATTTTCAGAAAACTTGTGCTACTAAATATATATACACAATTTACAACAAAGTTAAAAACAACAACTAAAACCATAAACAAACGGAACCAAAATTGAAATTTCAAAATCCATAACGTTAATTTAAATAATAAAACAAGAAAGATAGCAAACTTCGGCAGCCGAACTTTATATATCCTTGCAGCTATTGAAAAAATTAAATATTCTATGTTTAAAAACATTGAAGCTATGATGTTTTGCAGCTTAATTATTCGATAGTTCCTATGGCAGCTATATGATATAGTCTTCCGATTTTATTAAAATTAAAAGCATAAATCTGAATTATTAAAAAAATTACAAAAAAAAGGTTACATTTTTTATTGTTCCCATGTGAGCTTTATGTTATAGTCTCCGATTTTGATGAAATTAAAACCGCAATTCTGAAATATTTAACCATTACTATATGTCGAAGAATTAAAAAAAAATTTAAAACAGCAATCTTAATTAAACGTTCTCATTTCATAAATGCTGTTTTACTCTTGTTTATTGAATATCTTTTAAATGGAGTATTAGATTGAGTTAATTGTTGTGTCGTTGGACCCATATTTTTATTAATTAATATAAGACATATTATATAAGAAAACAATTATTTCACCCCCAACTCCGGAACCAAATGACTTTCTAAAACTCTTAGAAGCACACACTCTTGTAAAAGTGATACCTTTTGATGCCTATATCATTTGTTACGGTAGAACTATTCTTTACTATATACATACATATATAAGTCTTTTTGCCCACGAAATTAAAATTTTACACAGATAAGGAAAACTTTCCCGTTAGAACTCCAAAAGCTATAAATATAACTCATAGAGAGAATACTCGTTTTAAGTACTAGAGTGATGTATGACTTAAATTCACAATTGACTTACTTGCATTTTTAACGACCAGTAAATGAATACATTAATCGGAGTTTTTTATTTTTATTTCTATAACACAACGTTTTTAAAGATTAATCACACTTTCACTCACTGGTAAGTAAACCGTACTATGTTGGGTCAAGACTATATAGCTGCTATTCTTATATTTCGAAAAATTCAGCATCACTGTTTTTAAACTTATACGCATAAAAATCGAAATGTAGTCGGCTTAAAGAATGTTTTTTTTTTAACCTACAAGGGTATATAAAGTTTGGCTCGCCAAAGTTTGCTTTCTTTTTACGTTGCTATAGCTGTAGCGGTATATAAATAAATAGTGTTGCTTCATGTTAATTAAGGAGGTAAGCGTGCTCCCAGTGCCTTTGAAAGAATCTTAGATCTTGAATATTTTGTTGTAGTTCTTTTCCAAGTCGACATTAAAATTCCAGCATCCTCGGCAGAGACCTCGCCTTAGTGGGATCTTTAAGAGGATAAAAGGTAATACCATATAATATAATCCCTTGGCTAAAACCGAAATAAAACGGACAAGCTGGCATAATACTTGTTTTTCATATATTTTTCATTTCTCAGCGCGTTACATGTTCTTCGGTTTCAGAATCTGTTTGAGTCCACTTGTACATACTATGTTGTGTATATAGAGTTCAATAATATATATATATATATATATGTATATAATTCTTTTGATTACATTAGTTACAATCGAAGCAAGATCGCTGCTGTTGTGTGTGTTTCTGCCTTTAATTTGGCCAGAACTGAATCCAACTGAATCAACTGGGACATACATATGTACCTCGAAATAATCGTGAGTTAAGAAATACTTCTCCTGTATACGTGTGTATATGTATATGTACGCCTGCTAATTACCATAATTATGAATGCTTAATAAATGTCTCTCTGCAATTCATTAAAGCGGTTGTAATACTAAAATTATGGTTATGATTTTGAATATACTTATATCTCGTATTTGGGCAAACTAATCTATGTACAAACCCAAACTGAGCTCAGGGCTAAAGGCAAATGCATAATTGGCTGATCCGCCGAGGCGACCAAAAAGGAAAATGAAAATGAAAAGGAAAAGCGAAGGTAAATGTAGTTTAACTGCATGGTTGGTTGCTTATCCTACAGACTGTATGCAATATTAGCAAAATATGGAATTAGCCTACGGTTCCCCTTGTTTGTTTGTGTCTGTGTACTACTCGTGTATACATTCCCTTGTTTCTCGGCTCTGCCCTGTTCGGATCTGGATCTCTGTCTCGCCCATCCGACAACATATGTATGTATATAACGCCTGCACCTATAAACTCTTTTCGCTTTAGAAAACTTGTCTCGAAAAATTCTTTTGTGTGTTTTATGCTTGCAAAAATTTGAGGTAGTTTTATTTTATTTGAATTTCTATTCTTTTCTTTTCGTTTCCTTTCCATTATTTTCCTTTATTTTTCTTTACTTTTCATGGATTCATGTTTGATATCATTACCATTATCTTTAGACTCTCCTTGTGCAGTACAAAGCGTTGAACAACTCGGGCGAAAGGCATCGAAAGACTAACTAACCGAATGGAAGAGTCAACAAAGCTTGTTAAGCTTGATCTGCGATTATCGTTAGAGTATTGCTTTAAATCATGTATACAGGCTGTGATCGAGGCACCCCGCCTCTCCTCTTCAGACATAGGGGGATATACGAGTACACGTACATTAATACATATTTGATTCTTCCTTATAAGCTTAAACTAGTTGAGGGGCACAGAGACGCATCTACTATATCTACTTAAGACAACACACAGATATATTTGATATTGTTACTGTTATTGTTATTGTGCAACATAGGGAAAGTGCTCGAGCTGGAATTTGGGGGTATGGGTAATGGGGTATGGGGTATGGGATATAGCAGTTAATACTTTTAATTGCTCCTGGCCCTGCGCTCGTTTCGCACACTAAATTAATCAGTCGTTAATAACAACTGGGTTCTTGTTGTTCAATTACATTTTGGCAGTGATGAGTACTCTTGTTTTCATAGTTTTGCGGCTCTTGCTCTTGATTCGAATTTTACTTACTTTAATCACGTATAAATTCATTGGCATAGAAAACTATAACTTAGGGTTTAGCGTTTAGCTCATATGCTTAAAGTGTTGGTGTTGGTTTTGCCATTCGGATATGTACACCTAATAGAAAAGTAGGTAGTAGGTAGTAAGTAAATGATCATCGAATTTTTCAGCTTCAAAATCTTTTTTTCTGTTTGTCCATTAAATCATAAGAAATTGAAACATAAGAGTTATTTTGTTGCATTTTGCATTTAAATTGATTTTCTTTTCAATAACTTTATTTTGCATAGTTTACTTGGGATTTGCCTTGGCTAAGTTCTAAATGAATAGTTTAAATGTAAGTTTATAAGCGAAACTAGTTAATGTTATATTCTATTATGTACATTGCATTATGCTCTTCTTTTTCTGTCTCCTTGGATTTTCACAAAACGAACTAGAGACGCTGATGGTGATGAATTGGCGAAAGTGGCATTCGATTTGCACTAAATTAATGGTTAATCGTCTTGGGCTCGGGTCTAACTTAGGCTTATAACTGTTTGCATTGCTGTTCGAGTTGAGTACAAAATGTTTTACAAATATTTCTCGTATTTTGTAGCGGTAAATGCTTCAAGTCTTGTGTTCTTCCACGTCACTTTACTCTACTTAAACATTAACTGCTCAGTTGTGTGCGTTGTTTTTTCGCTTTCAGTGTAAGTTTGGCCAGTTTCTAGGTGTACATTACAAAACGACGCGGGGCAACAAAGCAAACAAAAAGAAAACAAAATTTTACTTTAAATTTTAAATAGATAGATAGACAACATAAAATTGGCTTTTGAAACAAGTCTTGTCCAGTCGGTCATTTCCCACATGAATCTTCACTAAATGTACACTTTTAGAACTAAATTAGAACTACAACTCTAGAAACTAGGACGTTTGTTCATAACAGCACTTGCTAGAACGCGCGGGTGGGTTGCTATAAGGTGGCTACTACTTGTAAATGCTCCTGACTCTTACTTGTCCATCCGCAAATATTATATGTACAAGGATCGATGGACGACAGTTGGATGGGAACAATAAACTAAACGGCTGCTTACGCTGAACAAACAAAACAAAACTGAACAAAGCGGCGTACTTATAGATTCTATACATAAGGGGATATATGCGTAGGTGGTAACTTATTTAGGCCATACGCTAACTAGTCTACTTGTCACTGTTTACTCGTTTGTCGTTTTTCGGTTTAATTACTTAGAGAATACTAGAATTCTGGCAGTGCCCTAGATGGGCACCAGGGCGTCCGTCGTGATCAGCTGCTCCCTCGCCGATGACACCATCTTGGGTGGTTTGCGCGGATGCTTGCGCCGCTGCTGCATCTGCAGCTTGGCGATGCTGAGCACCTGCTGATAGCTGGACACCGTCTCGCAGCTCGCACTGCGCGAACTACTGCCGCCGTCTTCCTCCTCCTCCTCCTCATCTTCCTCGTCTTCATCTTCGTCCTCATCGTCCTGATCGCCGCCATCCTCCTCGCAGTCGCTGCCGGTCAGTTCGCCCACCTGCTGCTCATTGACATTATAATCGTCGGCGAAAAGCTGGGAGTCATAACGTAGCCGAAAGGCCGTGCTCAACAAGCTGTCCACACGTGTTTTTTCAGCCGGTCGCATCTGCTTGATGTGCAGCACCTTGGTGTGCTGGCGCGTTCGGTTCGTGCACTCCGGCAGCCATTCATCGGAAATGCTAACGGAGGGAGAACGAGTTGTTAGAAAGAGTTGTTGGGCAAATGACTGGGCTTGAGATTTAGCTTACATTTCGCGCGGGGACCAACGAACAAAGCACTCGTAGCCGCCCTGACTGTTGCGCCGTCGCATGAGGCACTGACCCTGGAACTCGATGGCCTGGGCTCCGTTGGTGAGTGTGCTTATCTGGCGCAGGCGGTGCTGCAGTCCCTCCATGATGCCAGTGTCGAAGAAGTCGAACATGCGAGCTGTAAGTTAAGCAATCGATTAATCACCTTGTACACTTATCATGGTGATAGGGTCAATTTTGTCAACAAATCATTTTAATTTTGGCTATTTCATTGGACCTATCTCTCGACTTTCTTCTAGAATCTATCAATCAATCAATCCTAATTCCATAACATTTTTATAAATGTATTTAAAACGGGTAAGAAATGTAAGAACTGTATTCCATAGCCGCCACATAGACAAATGAAGATGTGAATTCGTTCATTATTTCAGTATTTCGTTCAATTAAAAAGGTTTCAAGACTGTCGATAGCTGTGCATACCCTTGTAACTTATAACTTACCTGAGAAGGGTTGACGGCGGTACCGGAGCTTCTTGCCATTCTTCCGCAGTTGTTTTGGCACGGGCGGATCCGAGGTGCGCTTGCTCGTGCTCTCCTTGGCGTTGTCCGTGGCATTGAAGTGGTTGTTCACATGCTTTTGCAGCGCCAGCTGAAGGATGAGGAGAGATAGTAGTTATAGGGGCTGAATCAAAAAAAAGGAAGCGGCATCGACCCACCTGTGAGCCGAAACGCAGGCCGCAGCCCTCGACGATGCATTTGAACTGCTTGGAGCCACCGTGGGAGAGCACATGGCGCTCGAGCCAGCGGCGCGAGCATGACTCCTTGTTGTACACCTTGCAGCCCACCCAGAGGCAGGCGAAGGGACCTGTCTGCGTGTTGACGTGGTGCGTCTGCATGTGGTCCAGCAGCTTGGAGTTGCTCTCGTGCTTCTTATTGCACTTGTCCCAGTAGCAGACGCCGTCGTGGCGCTTCCCCCCTTGCCGCCGGCCCCCGCTCCAGCCGGGAAGCGAATGGTCTTTGGCTGCGACAGGATCGGCGAGATGGCGCTCTTCGGCAGACACTTGCTCGTGGCCTCGACCATCGCAATGTCCACCACAGTGCTGGGCGGAAAGGCGGCTGTACTGGCGGGCGACGGTGCAGCCGAACAATCATCCGGTGAGGCGGGAGAAGGTGCATTGCTGGCCAGCGAGTTGCTGTCGGAGGCGGCGGAGGAGGCGGCGGAGGAGGAGGAGGAGGAGACGCTGCTCGCTGCAGTGGTTGGCGGTCCCACAGAGGCTGATTTCGAGGATCTGTTGGGGGAATCGTTTTGGATTAGTCAAAGCTTAAAACTCAGTGAACGGTTGCCAATTAATTAGTTATTAAACAAAAATAAAGCATTCTTGAGTTGTTTTTTAGTTATCTTTTAAAGACAAAAAGGTTCCAATGTAAACGATATGTTTTAATTTACAATTTTGGCAGCCATACTGAAACCTTACACTTCTAAACTCTACTCACATCGCATCCACAATTGAGTTGCTGCTCTCACTGTTGCTCAGGCTTCCACCGATGCCGGATTCCGGCGTGGGTAGGTCCCTTAGCCGCTTGTGCGTCTGATGGGTCTCCAGCGAGGCCACCGACTTGTCGTCCTCCTCATCGTAGTTGCTACTCCCGCTGCTGCTCACGCCGCTGGCGGTGGGCGTGGGAGGAGTGTTGGTGTCATCGCCCTTGCCCAGCTGCAGGGGAAGTGTCTGCGGCGGAGGTGAGTCCGTGGCCTGCGAACAGTCATCGCCACCGCTGGAGATGCACGACGAGGTGACCATCTCGCTGAGCATGTCCGTCTGGCTGGCCGCTCGCCGGCTGCTGCCGCTCATGTTGCTGGCGGCCGGCGAGGGTGATCCCAGGCCGGAGGGCGTGGCTGATGGCGCGGGAGACGGGGCGGGCGTAGAGGCCTCTAGCGAGAGATCCGCTGCCGAGCTGACCGAGTGAGAGTAGTTGCTGCTGCTGCTGCTGCTGCTGCTGCACGAATTGGAGTTCGAATTGCTGTTGGTGCAGTCGGGCAGCAGGTCGTGCTTCAGCGTCTCCACCACCGATTCCGGATCGCGATCCCGATCCCTCTTGGGCAGCTGGCCGGCAAAGCTCTGGGGCTTGGGCGATACCGATGGCATTGAGAGCGAGGCCAGGGAGCCGGTCTGCGAGGCCAGCTCCGTGGTCTCCGCCTTGATCTTGCTAAAGGCCGACAGGGTGCAAGAGTTCGAGCTGGACAGTGCTGGCGAGGATCGCAGGCAGTGGCTGCCATTGCTGCCGTTGCTGCTGCTGCTGCTGCTCGGCGAGCTAAAGGGCAGCGGCGTAAGCGGTTGCGACGCCTTGGCCACCACTTTGGAGTTCTTGACCAGGTCGAAGAGATCGGGCGCACTGTTGGCCAGCTTCATGGCGGCTCCTGCCTTGGCCACACTCAGCGTGGGCGTCAGCTTCGAGGGCGCTATGCTCACCAGCGGTGGCGTCGGTGTGGGCGTCGGTGTGGGTGCGGGCGTGGGCGTGGCTGTTGCGGTACCAGTGGTTGCTGTGCTTTTGCGCAACTGACCCAGCTCCTTGGTGGCCGATGTGGGCACCAGAGGCGGCGGCGTGGTGGGCGTGGCTATGATCGGTGCCGCACCCACTCTGCCCTTGGTGGTCAGTCGCTTCTGGTATGGCTTGGCTGCGGGCAGGGCCCGTTTGGCCGCTGGCGAAGAGGCGGCTGCCGGGGAGCACGAGGGCATCGAGGGCATCGAGGAAATCGTCACCAGCGGCGGCGGTTGCGTGGAACTGTGCATCGGCGGCTTCACAATCGCCCGCTGAGGCTGTATGGCAGTGTTGTTGATGTTGCTTAAATTATTCGAGGCATTGTGGTTGTTGTTGTTGTTGTTGTTGCTGGCAGTCGAGTTGTTGGCAGTGTTCGAATTGCTGTTGTTCGTGGCTGCCAAGGGTGGCGGCTGAGTGGCAGTGTTCGTATTGTTGTTGTTGTTGTTGTTATTGTTGTTGTTCGTGGCCGCCAACGGTGGCGGCTGTGTGGCAGAGATGATTTGCTGTTGCTGATGCTGTTGGTTGTTCAGAGCTATTTGCAAGCTCATTAAGTAACCTAGGTACTCCGCCGAGTTCACTATATATAGTTTGTTATCCTTGAGTCCAACCTGCTGATTGTTGAGTGGATTAACAAAGTTCATGTTGCCGCAAGAATTGGAAGCCATGTTTTCTGTAAAATACAAAGCACAAATTAAATAGTTAGTTATTTGGGCAAGTTTTGGTTCTTTTCTAGTAGTTCTTAAATTATTTTTTGACGTTGTAGGTTTTATCGCTCTCTAGTCCCATTTTTGGGGACACTTGATGAACATTTTTCTTTCGGTGATTGGCACCACCAGTATAACACGGAACCTACTCAAGATAGTCTAACAGTGGTCGGCTTTTATCCGGACTCACAACAAACATTTCTTGGATAGTCTCTTCGCATTATCAGCAACTTCTAGTTTATATGCATTTAAGCCGCGGCGTTATATTGATAACTTAAAGCTATCGTTCTTTCCTATGACAAATTCGATTTAAATCATCGTTCCTGCACATCCAGTCGAGCATTTCTATGAATATTTTAATTCGTAGTTGTTAGTTTTTGAAGTTTTAGCTCTCTTTTATCTACTTAAATCATAATTAAACAAAAAATATATTTATTTTTTAAGAGCAACAATAACGTATGTAAAAATAAAAATTTCCCATGCATTTTCCTGTAGCTTTTGAATGGATTTCTTGCTTTCTTACATAAGTAGAGACTCATTTAAAATAATCGATCTTAAAATGTGTATAATATTCACCGTTTAAACTCATGTTGTTCTGCCGGGCAAGAAGCAGCTGATGATGGAGGTAGCTCCCAGTTCCCGGAATGGCCTCCATGGGAAACTGGCCGCTGGCGTTGGGCAGGCCGAATGGATTGCCCGCCGTGGCCAAATTGAGTAGTCCGAAGGGATTGGCAGCCGATGCGGCCGCCGCCGACGTGGCCGTTGTGGCCGTCGTCGTGGTGGCCGTCGTTACCTGCTGCAGCTTGAAGACCGTGCCGTTGAGGAAATACTGGGCGGCAGCAGCCTGTGCCGCCTGCGCTGCTTGAGCGGCCGCATTGTTGTTGGCCGCCGCGGCCACCGCCGCCTTAGCCACGTTATTCAGTTGCATGATGTTGGCGGCGGCCGCCAGCTGAGGCGGAAGCTGGACTAGATTGGGCAATTGCACGGGCAGCTGGTAGAGCGTGGGATTGGCGGGAGCGGGCGAAGGATTGAGAGCTGGTGCGGGGGCGGGGGCGGGTACGGTGGCCGCCACGGGGGCGGGTGGTGAGATCGGCTTCTGTTTCAGGGTGGGACTGGTTCCCGGCGGTCGGTAGACCATGGCCGCCTTGCCCTGCTGCTGCTGTTGTTTCATCTCCGGCGTCCGGGGAGCAATCGCCACATGCTTCTTGGCCGGGGACTTGCCCGTACTGGAGCCATTTGAGGAGCTACACGAGGACGATGAAGAACTGTTCGAGGATCCACTGCTCGGCGTCTTGCGCAGATTGGGCGCTACCTGTGCAATCTTGGCCGGTTGCTTGGTGCTGCGCTCGATTTTCTTCAGAGCCGGCACCGGCAAACTGGGACTAGGAGTGACAACAGGCGGGGCGGGTGCCGCAGGAGCAGCCGGAGCCACTGCAGCGGGTGTGGGTGATGTCTTGGCCGCCTGCTGCTGCTGCTGCTGTTGTTGTTGTTGTTGTTGTTGTTGTTGTTGTTGCTGCTGCTGCTGCTGCTGGGCCTTCTGCTCCTTGAGCTGCGACAGGATGTTAAAGTACTTGTTCAGCGAGGCGGTGGTGGCGGGCGTGCTCATGGTCAGCGTGTTGGCCGGATTGCTCTGCTGGCCGGGCTGTGGCGACAGCTTTCCGCCGCCGGGCGACGGCTTCATTTGGGACTTGAAGAAGCCGGTAATCTTGGTCTGCGACTCCTCCATGGCGGCCACCTTCAGTCTTTTGCTTGCATCAAAGGAGCTGGGCAATTCGTTACGCGCCTTCTTGGCGGACGCCGCTCCTCCGCCGGCTAGACAGGCGGCGTCTCCGCCGGCGGTGCCCATTCCCATGCCAGATCCCGCCCCGGCCGCGGTTCGTTTGTTCTTGTTGGCCGTGGCGGCGGGCACGGCGGTCGAGGTGCTGCCCAGGCTGGTGTTCCACGGCCACTGGAGCGTGGGCACGAGGCTCGGGTTGTTGTGGCGCTGGGGCGTCGTCGGCTTGGACATGGCGCTGCTGGATACGCCGCCGTGCTGGCTGAGATGACTGTGGTGGATGGCTGGCGATGATGGCACCTGGGGGGCGCTGCCGGAGGGCGGAGAGGCGGCCGCTGTGGAGCTGCTGCCGCTGGCGCTACCGAGGATCTGGGGCGGCATCTTGGTCAGCGGGTCGGGCGGGTCGCTCAGTTGCGAGTGCGCACTGTACGGGGAGCCGGGATCGGACGCATCCTCACTGGAGCCCGTGCTGGAGTCCGCGCAGCTCAGTGAGGTGGCAACGCCGCTGCAAACAGAAGGAGGAGAAGGGGACTTGATAAGTACGGGTGTTATCTTTTGCTGTTGGGTTACTATTGATATTCGGGGAGATTTCACTGGCCCCACTGTGGCTACAGCTGCCCTCGGTTGCAGCCACACCTTTTGGACGCGGGCCAAGGAAAGGGGATTGCATCTCTGATGGGAAACGATCGTCTGCCAATTTTAATTCACCAACTAAACAATTACATTGTTTTGCACCTTTAATTTGTTTGTGTTTATGCTTTAGTCTTTTTTTACACGCTTTTTCTCTCTTTTTTTCTTTGATTGTTTATTTGCTTGGCAGTGTTGGGGAACGACTCATTTATTCTTTGGTTGTTTATTTGCCTGACAGGGTTGGAGAGCGCGCGGAACTATCGGTGTGCACACTGTAAGCGCTAACAGCGCGTCTAACAGCTGATATTATTTCCCAAAACAATCATAGCAGGCAGATACGAAACTAGAATTTAAGTGCAAGGCGCAAAGTACAACAAAATAAAGTAATTTTGTATTCATTTTTCGCACAAGAATTTACTTGTCCATCCCGACTTAACTAATAAAAATGTGTATGAAAACAAAAGAAGGGTCAGTTATTCAATGCGAGAAATCAGAAAATTATGTTGCGCGAGAACTAATGAGAGAGGAAAACAGAGAAAGAGAGCGCACTCCGCATATGTAGCACACTCACACAAAACGGGTCGATAAACGAAAGCATAAAGTAAACAAAAAAAGCACGAGAATACAACAGGCAAGAAAGAGCCAACAAAAGAGCTAGCCCGAAAAGGAAGAAAATAAAGGCAAACTCCCTCTCCTCTTTCATTCCACATTCCTTCTTTCCTCCCTCTCTCTCTATCTTTCCTTACGATTGTCTGTCCGCGTGCAACATAACAGCAGCAGCAACAACAACAACAACGGTGGGAATAAGAGGAATGGAAGGCAAGGGCCGCAATCTAATGCGGGAAAATTTCAGTTTCAGGTAGCCCAAGTCGCGTGTGTGTTTGTGCGGTTTTGTATACCCACACGTACATAACACAGGGAGAAAGGGAGAGGGAGCGAAACGGGATGAACGGACTGCACGTATACAAAAATATCCTATGGTTACAGAAAAAGGGTATTTTGGAATTCGAGTTGGAGAGTTTTTACAATGAATAAAAAATTGATCATGATAAAATGTACGTTTGCACCCATATTGGTAATTAATATACGTTTATTCTTCTTCGAAATACAACATCAAATTTACATATGTTTTAAAACACTCTTGTTGGATACAAATCCCATTTTTTAAATAAAAAAAATAATTGTTAAGCGGTGGGATTTAAACCAGGGTTTTTAAATAGGGTATGCCCATATCCTAATAATAATCTTAATCTTAATATCTTAAGTGACCAGGCATAGAGTAAAACTCAATTTTATACAATTTTCTTATCCATATTTAAAAAAAAAATGTAAATGCACGTTATATCAACCTGATTTATCCATTAATGTTAATTTGAAAAAAAGTATAAAACGTCTCTCATGTTGACGTTTTTTTTTAATGGAGAGGGAAATGTGATTGCTTAGAATTTGTAAAATATTTTATGATCATTTTGGAGGAAAACATGGGAGTGGGAGTTGTTTTCCACCTGCCCTCGCTTGTTAAACGAATCCATAAATTCGGAGTTAATGTTTCAAGCTTGGGTTCCAGACCAAAAATCGTTCTTGGGTTTTCTCGGTCAGAAGTTTAATATTCTCCGACGGCTTGCTTAAGTTTTCTGACCCTTCGTAATCAGCAGCGGCTTTCTACCTATCAGTACCTACTGAATTTTCAGGCCTTCAACACATGAATTCTGAATATAAAAGAGAATAAAACACATAAAATGGAAACACTTTATATTTTATGTTTGTCTACCCCCGGAGATCCCACAGATTACGACGACCACGCTGCTGCTTTTGTGATAAGCCTATTCCGGCGGATTGATGTTAACTGCGCCCTTATTTTTTCTGCATTTTTGTTGTTTTTGAAATGAGGTAAACGAACCTAGGACTTTTTTATTTAAAATTCTACGCTTCTATATTATTAAAAGAAAATTCTAAATTTATACTGGGCTATTAGAAAAATTTACTAATAGGATTTTCGGGGTAAAGAAAATATGAAAGTTGTTTGTTTTGGTGCTAGTAAAGGTTTTTAAATAATATTGTGTTTTATTTATATTCGTCGCTAAACGCTGTTAAAAATCTTATCGAGTTAAATTAAAGAAAGTTAGATTTATGCCCGTTATAATATTGAAAATTATAATCAGTTGTAATGTATAGTTTTTTTGTATACAAGTTTTACGCATGTAACAGAGCTCGACTATCAATGAGAGAAGTCCCAATCACTGTATCACAATCTATAAACAATATTAGATTTCGTAAAAATCGTAATTATAACATTCCAACGGGTCTTACAATTTCCAATGACAAATAGACTAGCTAAAAAAGAGAGTAAATATTCGAAGTAAAATTAAAATTGTTTTTAAACTGTAAATTAAACAAAAAGTCCAATAAACTATGGTTGTATTTATGATTGTATAACTGTGTTGTGTTCTTAATTAAGATTTGATTTTGTTCATTTATGTTTTCTTTTCTAATACTACACTTGTGCATTCTTCGTTTTAAAATAAGTTAGACCTTTAATTTTTTAAAATACCACATTTATTCGCATATTTTAAAAGTAGAGTTGGTTATAATTGGTTTTACTTTAGGATGAAACAATCTAAGATGATTTATACTATTTAAATTGCCTGTTTTTCAGTTTGTTCTTTCCGAAAAGCGTTCCAATTAAGGGCTTTTAAAAATATTTATAGACTGTTTTGCTGTGATAACTTTTAACTTTCGGGATCATTTTTGCTAAATCTCACTTTGCTTTCAGACTGTTAATTCAATTTGATTTCTACTTGACATATTTTAACAAAAACTTTTTGTTTGCCGACGGCCCTTGCGCTTTACGTCTGCAGGATAGAAATTGTTTCCCTTTGCCCGTTTGAAGTTCATTCTGCTATGCCACTGAGCCTGGGGTGAAAGTTATCCGATATTTATGCACTAGTCCTTTGGTAGATGGCGCCTTTCAATTGCAGCAGTTTATTATGCATTCAACGCAAAGTTGATGCTTAAATTATGCACTCTATTTAATTTTCCAGCCATAAGTAAAGCTTTATGGCCCCTATTCACACACACACTGGGGTCATATTAAATTCATAGAACGCCGCACGGCAAAAGCGGCAACAATTTAAATTTTATTAGAAAATCCCATTAGATACACACGCACACACCGAAAGCAACTTCCACTTCCGCCAGAAGTTGGCTTTGTCGTGTGTGTGTATGTGTGTTTGTGTGTTGGGGGTGTGGGTGTGTGTATCCAACGCCACCCGCACTCACACAAGGCATGAATGAAGAAGGCCATGGGTAGAGGAGGGTCGCAAAAATCATTGCATATTTGCTTGGGCAAACAACAACAAATGCCCACAATTACACACACACAAAGTCGCGAACAGTGACAGCCAGCAGTTATTTAACACGTGATGTAAACGGAATGTAAAGCATGCTGTAATAGTCGAGCGAAACTAAAAATGCAGGCAGAGAAACATGCGCAGCACCAGAGAGGGAGCAATGCACGATTTCTTTTATTTTGCTGGCATATTCGTATTCTTTGGCTTAACGACTCCAGCCTTTCGTCGGTATACTAACGTTGAACGCTAACGCTATCGCTATCCGTGTTCCCAGGCAGGCGATCCGTTTTCCTGTCCGCTTTTCCGCATACAAACACCGACCGACCTTCAACTTTAATCTCGGTCTTAAAGCATTTCGTATTCGTATCCGACTCGACGTTGTTGCTTTAATTATCCACACAAACACACGCGTAGACACACACACACACACGCTGGCGTTTACGGGCGGGCACGCGAAGCATAAATATCCATATATCCAAAAAAGAGGCGGCCGCAGAAGAAATTCCCACCAACACACCGAAGCCGAACCGTATCTGTATCTTTGATTCGATTCTGCAGTCCGCTATCTGCAGGCGCGTCCGTCGCGGTCGAAAGTTGGAGAGAAAATGGCCTAAAAACCTGGCTTCTTCGTAAGGAACAACGGGAAAACCAGCCGAGAATTTTCAAGAGAGAGCGCTCTCCCTGCGAGATGTTCCCCGTATATTATACATATGAATACGAAAAGGGAATTTTTCGAGAGAGAGAGAGAGAGAGAAAGAAAGAGAAAAAACAGAAGAGCGCCCTTCTTTCTCACAGCGTTCCCTACGTTCCTGCCCATTATTATTATTTTTATTTATATTTCACTTTTGTTGTTGGCACGTTAAATATTTCCTGTTTGTCGTCGTCTCTCCGCTTTGAGCCCGCAAAACGAGAGCGAGGGCTGTGGGATGTGGGATGAGGGCAGTGGGCGGGGCAGAGGTCGGTGGCAGCAGTTCATGTTATGGTCACGTACTCCTCCCCCCAAAACATCCTTCTCTCACACCATAATGTGTCTCCGTCCGTCTCCTTGTCACTTCGCCTCGTTTTACTTTCTTTTCCTTTTCGCTGGCTGCCTCGTCGAGCTTAAATGTTTATCTAATTATTTAGACATCTTCCCGCCAACCCCACAACTGGCCTGGTGAGAAAAAATATTTAATTTGCCGCATAAATCCCTGGAAAATGTGTCTTCTAAATTTGTCACCGACCTGTACGAACTGCTCGCCAAGCTTGCGGCTATTTAGTCTAGTTTAATAGGCGGCTTGTGAATAAAAAAATTAAGTAAAGGCTTACTACGGTGAAATCTAGCGAAACACAATACATTCATACGTTAAGGGGCTCTAATCCCTACCAGTGTTAACTTCTCATTAGAATGTTTAAAAGTTTGTTGAAAATATTGAGGTATATATTTAGCTATATTTTTTGGTTTTTAATTTACAGAAAATATTGAAAGGTGCCAAAAAAAACTTCCCCAACTGCTGACATGATTCTGGCCAAGCGAGTAGGAAAA